AGGGAAATAACAGGAAGTTCCAGTTTCTTTACCTCTGGCTTAATCTACAATATTTCTCAAACCAGATCATTCCTGTTAAGCCCAGAAAGAAAAAATTCCAGGCTAAGATTTACCCCCACCCTCTTCCCCGACTCTCACATCGGGTCAATCTTGCAGGTTTCTCTTCCCTTCTCCCAAGTGTCAGGAATTCCTCTTCTTTGCCCAGGTGGCTAAGATTCTAGGGATATGTGCCTCCATTACGAGGGGAGGCAGAGGTGTCTCAACCGCAAATTACGGGAGACCGGTGAGGTCTGCCCATCAATGGGCTAACCTGTTGGGGAATCCCTGTTCCCTTTTACCAGCTGGACACGTCCCAGCCGCTCAATGAACGACGCCAAGTGGGAAAGGAGGAAGGTTCTCCCATCGGCCTCCAGCCTCTACCGGCCACACCCCTGGCCTCTGGCCCTCCTACCCCCGACTTGGAACATACCTGCAGCCCCAGTGCCTCCCAACTCCCAGCTGCCACACCCGAAGGTTCCCTCGCCCTGCCAGAGCGGTGGCGTCCCTTTCTGCAACCCTCTCCCTCACAACGGTCACACCCGACGGCTCACTCCATCCTCAACGGTCACGCTCCTAGGATTTCCTCTCCTCCGCCCGTCTCCAAACCAAGCCGGGGTTCCCTCTCTCCCCATCAATGAAGGACACACCCCAAAGTTAGCTGCCTTGAACTCACCGGAGGCAAGGACGAGGGGAGTGGTGGCAGCAGCCAGGGAGCACGGCCCGAGCGGTGTTGTAATGGTTTCCTGCACGTCACGACTCCTCCAGGTCTAAGCCACTGCGCAAAACCCACTTTGCCAGGGACAAAGATGGTGGACAGGAAACTCTGACGTCAGAGAACCTCGCCGCCTGACGTCATCCGGGCGCGCGGGAGAACCAGAAAGGCGGTGCTGTGTGTGGTGTTGGAAGTGGGAAGATTGTTTTTTCTTGGTTGGTCAAAAAGAGGCCTGAGACCCGGGTCTAAAAGACAGTTCAGTGGCTTTCCAAAGGGATGTATTAAGCTGATGTTCCCTGGATATTTTTCCTCGCAGAATTCTCTAAAAAGCTTACACACAGAGAAGGTGAAATAGCCTTTTCCTTTCTTAAAAAAGGAAAGAACTCAGCTAATTTCGCTGGCCAGTGTCGACAAAAATAATCCATAACCAATCTATAAATGAAAACTGGGGTGAGTTTATTCCGAGCCAAATGTGAGGACCATATAGCCCAGGCCCTTCCTTCTCCAAGGAAGGAAGGGCAACAAAGAAGTGGGGGTGTACAGTGTGGTTATATACCGTCACACATATGCTAGAAATGTCCATTTTATAATAGTCACAAGACTGGTCTGTCAGCACAGCGATTGATGGACACGTCTGGGTAGTAGGTCTGCTGTCTTGAGCTGGGTGGTCACAGGTGGGTGCAGCAATCAGTTCCTAGCCATGGAGAGATGCTTATCCTTAAGGAAACGCCAATGTTGGGGGAGTTGCACGTTTATCTTAAGGCCATTTGTTCTTTGGGACATAGCAAAGCTTAAAGCAGATATAGAACACATGCTCAATGGCCATGTCAGGCCCTTTGGGGAAAACAAAGTCAGGCAGAATTAGGTTTACACCTAATGGCTTCCTCATATATTCCAATATATTCTATTTCTTGCCGTTTATTTGTCACCAGTTCAGTAGTGTGGACAACGGTGATCCAGCCCAGGACTATACATGGGCAGTGGTACTAGAGGAGAGTGATGCAAGGAAAAGAGGTTAAGATGGCATTAGATCTGCGTTCCAATCCCTGCCCTGAATGTGACTGGGAAAGTTACCAAATGTCCCCCCAACTTTAGTTTTATCTGTGAAATAAATCCAGTGATATATCTCTTTCAGCTTGTGAAGCTTAAAAGGGATAAAGTAGGTAAAGCACCGAGCATGTAATAGGTGTGCTTACACAAACGTTAACTTCCTTTGAGAAACCCAGACCTAGAAATCTGTTACTTTCCCCTCACTTTTGTTATGAACCTAAAACTGCTCTTAAAAAAAAAAAAAAAAAGTATTTAGTTAAAGAAAAAAAAAAAAAAGAATGAAGAGAGTGAGACCCTGGGGCAGAAGCTGAGGAAACCAAAATACAAAGGGGACTGAGAAGAGTAGTCAGAGAGGTAGAAGGAAAAGCAAGCAGTTACAATGTTTCAGGATGTTTTTAGAGTTCCATGAAAGTAGGAACTATACCAATCTGTTCACTCTTCTACCTCTGAGGCCTAGCACCCCCTTCCCAAAATTTGTTGAATGAATAAATGTATGAATGAGTGGTCAACAGGATCAGTTGCTATAGAGAGAAGAAGGGCTGAAGTGTCCAAAGATTTAGCAACACAAAGGTCTTTGATATCATTGCTGAGAACATCGGTAGAGATAGAAAGGCAAAAGTCATGCTGAAGCTTGAGGATGAGTGGGAGGTGAGGAAATGAAAACAGCAGTTACAGATAACTCCATAAGAAAGTATGGCTGAAAAGAGAAGAGATACAGGATGGTATTTGAGGGAGAGAGTAGCAGGGAGTTTTTTTTTTTTTCAGTTCTATACTCATACATTTTCTTTACACTATCCCTTTAGCAAAACCCTTGGTTCAATTATCTTTCCTACCCAGATGACTCTAGAATCTCTATCGCTAGCCTTGACCTGTTCCCCAAACTTCACCACCACATTACTAACCACACTGATGGGTAACTCTATGGCCCACCCAAATTAAGGATATCATAAAGGGGATGGGGGGAATGTTTGAAAAACCTGGTTTCAGATACAACTCCCAGTAGACAGAGGTGGATTTCGTAAAGAAGATGCCACCAGAAAAATCTTGAAGAACTTTGATTCATATTTCTCCCCTGTTCAAAAACTTTCAACAGCTCCTCATTGCCTAATATATCCAAAATCTCTTCTTCTCCCAGTTTTCCCCATCTGTGTGCTCTTTTCTTTAGTTTTGTCATCTATAAAATGGGAGAAATAGTGGGGGGCCAGCCTGGTGATGTAGTGGTTAAGTTCATACACTCCACTTCAGTAGCCCAGGGTTAGCAGGTTCAGATCCAGGACGAGGACATACATGCTGCTCATCAAGCCATGCTGTGGCGGCACCCCACATAAAATAGAGGAAGATTGGTACACATGTTAGCTCAATGACAATCTTCCTCAAGCAGAAAGAGGAAGATTGGCAACAGTGTTAGCTCAGGGGCAATCTTCTTCACACATGCAAATAAGGGAGAAATAGTAATATCCAATCATAATATTATTACAATGATGAAGTGAATTAGTCTATGTAAAGCACTTAGAACTATGCCTGCACATAGTATGGACTATGTAAATATTTGCTATGATTGTTTCAATAAATTACACTGAATTGCTCAAGCCAGAAACATGAAGGACATTCTTCATTTCCCTATCTCCTTTAACTGCCACATCCAATCCATCTCCAAGTTGTCCATCCTACCTTCAGAATATCTCAAATTCATCCAATCCCCTTTATTCCACCTCATAAGTCCAAGCCACCATCACCTCTTGCCTGAACTACTAGAAACCTCAACTCTCCTCCCAATCTTTATCCACACAGAAGCCAGGTTTTTGTTTAACTTTTTTTGAAGTATGACAAACCTTCAAAAAAAAAAAGTGCACACAATGTAAATATAAAGCTTCATGAATCTGCACAAAATAAACACAGCTATATAACGATTACAGGGTCATTTTATAAGTACAAACCTAACCATGATTCTGGTGTATAAATCCTTCAATGGCTTCCCATTGCACTTGGACTAAAATCCAGCCTCCGTCCCATGGTCTATGAGTCCCTGCATGGTTTGGCCCCTGTCTACCTCTCTAAAATCATTTTATGCCTTTCAGTCACTCCTCATTTCACCTTTGGCTAGCTATTGTAGCCCTCAAATAACGCCAAGCTCTTTCCCATTTTAGGGCCTTCAAGAATACTGCTCCTCTTGCCTAATATTCTTTTTCCCCAACTCCTCAAATGACTGGCCTCCCATAATTTAAGTCTCAGGTTAATTGTAATCTCCTCAAAAAGGCACTCCCTGATTACCCAATCTAAAATGTTCTGCTCTTTCAGCTCCTTCTGCCACCCCGATCCCAGCCCTCTTTTTTTTTTTTTTTTAACAGTTGTGTAAAGCTTCAGGCATCTTTCTTTTTTTTTTTTTCTGATTTCCCAACACCTCCCCCCCCCCCCCCAGTACATAGTTGTATATCTTAGTTGCAGGTCCTTCTAGTTGTGGGATGTGGGACGCCGCCTCAACATGGCCTGACAAGTGGTGCCATGTCCGTGCCCAGGATCCGAACCCTGGGCCGCCGCAGTGGAGTGCGTGAACTTAACCACTTGGCCACAGAGCTGGCCCCCCAGCCCTCTTATTCAATTTGTAAATTATGTATTTTTATTTATTTCCCTTCCCAATTAGACTGTAAATTCCATGAGGGCAGATATCATGTCTCTTTTTATTACTACTTTATACCCAGAGCCTAACATGATGCCTGGCACATAGGAGGTACTCAATATTTATTGAATAAATGAATGAATGTCCACAAAGTACTAAAACTAGCATTTAAGACCCTCCATAATTCACTTAAATCTACTTTCAACATATTCCTACTGTTCCTTTTTGTGGCTCTACATTTAAAGCCAACTTAATAACTTTCTCCTTATATACACTCCTCCTGCTCCCTTAGCTTGGAAAGCCCTAACACCATCACTGTGACTTACCCCAAATGTACTCATCTTTTGAGGTCCACCTAATCCACAAAACTTTCTCAGTGGACATCTGTTATGATATGACGTACAGGAGGTACCAGGTTACATCACTGTATTAGAAAGCAACTGGCAGAGAGAAGCTGAGATAAAAAAAAAGAGGTTAGAAACAATGTTCTTTCTTTTGTTTGGTTACATAGGCCAATATAGGCTTCCTGTTTAAGCCAGTTTGAATGGCCTTATTTTTCCCATCTGGTGGTTCTCTCTTCCTCTAAACTCACACCATATTAACCTATCTGATGGCTCTTAATACCTTTTAACAAGTGCTATCACTTTTTATGTGTCTTTGCTACTACATCATAAACCTGAAGGTGGGATTTGTAATAAGTGTCTATTATTTGTTGGCGGCAATACTTGACATTTGTTATTTTTGACTGTCTTTCCGTTTTCTCACGTAATAACTTAGTTTCCTTTTGGAGTATCTTCAAAGGACTATTAATCAAGGTGTCTTGCCCTCTTCTGGCTAACAGTGAAACAGTAGAGAGGAAATCTGAACTAAGATAGGGCAATAGGAATTTGAATCATAAGTGCAGTGACAGAAATGTGTTGAAGCTCATTCACTGCAAAACGTTGCCTGGGTAAGACTTTCCCAATTCTTGCTAGTGAGATCCAATAGGATTGTGTAGTTCCTGTCTTTCAGAACTGGCTTTCTTACTTTGTTAGCTACTCCATATGTTTCTAATACCTTTCTTTTTAGTTTAGCCTGTTTCTGTTGAAGAACCCTAATTGATACAAATGTTTAACTCTCCGCTTGTTTTAGTTGATGCTATTTCTCAACTTTGCCTTTTTGCCGTTCACTTAAGAAACACCTGTACAGGGGCCAGCCCAGTGGCGCAGCGCTTAAGTTTGTACGTTCCGCTTCTCAGCGGCCCAAGGTTCACTGGTTTGGATCCCGGGTGTGGACATGGCACCGCTTGGCAAGCCATGCGGTGATAGGCATCCCACATATAAAGGAGAGGAAGATGGGCATGGATGTTAGCTCAGGGCTAGTCTTCCTCAGCAAAAAGAGGAGGATTCGCAGCAGTTAGCTCAGGGCTAATCATCAAAAAAAAAAAGAGAGAGAAAAACAAAAGAAAAGGCTGTGTATAACATCTACCATTAAGCAGACACCTAATATGTGCCAGGTGCACATATTAGAGATAATGAAACAGCATCTCTAGTCCTTAAAACTCTGTAAGGTAAAAACCTTATTTCAATGTGACTTTTCTCTGGCAGGTATTTTGGTAGAGGAAAAAACACTTTTTGGAACTAAAATTACGGTTAACTTCCAAGATTTTCTCTCCTATTCAAACAATTAAACCCAAATCTTGTTTTTGAGGATTCTCAAACAAACCAATTATCTATCTTTATACCATAAGGTCCTCTAGGGCCATGTGTAAGACCTTCTATTGCTAGCTATTTAGCCCAGGGTGGGGGAGGGGTTGCAGAGGGAGAGAAGTTGAACTTTAAGGCTTATCCAAGTTCAATAAAACTCTATCAGCAATTCTAACGAGGCAAAGTTGCATACGATGTAAAAGCACTTCACTAACAGTAAGATAATAATGAAGAATATATGAACTTCATATATTCAAAGAATATATGAACTTTGGTAGGCAAACAATGAAAAGTACCTTCTCTGTCAAGCCTCCCCAGTTCATCCTAGTTAAAATTCAATAGGATCCCTCCGTCTTAGCGTTGAATTCATATCGCTAACGCGATACATCCCAGCGTGTACAAGGGTAGGAACCATTTTCACCTACTGCAGCACGTGTCTAGAGTTAGGCTTGAATGTAACCAAACCTGGAAGATAGTTAAACTACCAGCTTGAATGAAAAGTAATCGTCTCAAGTTTTGAGGAACAGCATTCTAATCATCCTTCTCTCTAACCGGCAGCAATAATGCTAAGGCTTCCATCTCCAGCTACGTCGCTCCAAAGCCTTCCCGAAAGGTAGGTGAATATAAATTAACCACCGCCCCCGCCCCGCACGGAGAGAGACTTCGCATCTGCATATTCCCTTTCGTCCCTCTGCCACTAACTCGATCGCCCGCGGAAACAAAGGCCTCGGCAGCGGGGCCGAGCTCCCGCTCCTCTGCACAGAGAGATTCAAAGTGTCAGCTCCCCACCGAAGATGGGATGCAAAATCACCTACGGAAAGCAAAACAAACGAGCCCCAAGCGCCGCCTTTACTGTCAGCGGGGGCGGAAGCTGCAGTTCTGGTGCGGTCATAGAGTTTTCTAATTCCGGTTTCGGGGCCACATTCGGGGCTAGAGCGCCTCTCCTCCGCCGGCCGTCCCCACGCCCGGCGCTCGTATTTCCGGGTCCGGCTTCTGTCACAAAGCGGAGGCCCCGCGTCAAACGTGGCCTGGTGGGTCCTTCGCGCCTGTCCTGGGGTCGGAGCGGAAGGACCGGGGCGGGCGGGGGTACTTCACAGCCCACAGCTGGAGCCGGTCCTCTCGTACGGGCCCGCGTTGGCACCTCTGCCCGCAGAGCCGGCTGGCTTTTGAGCCCTCAGGATTGAGTCCCTGATCCGCAGCCTCCAGGACTGCAGTTCTAGAGGACAGCTCTCCTTCGCCCATAGCTGTCCCCCATAATCACGCTCTGCCCTGTGAGGTGCATTTGACAAGTCACCTCCACACTCCCACCTCTTCCACCACGTCTGCCTTAACTGCGTTCTTAACCTGCTAAATTTGAGACCCCTCCCTCTGCCTCTAGGGGAGGTCCCCCCCACCCCGCCCCCCGCATAATTGAGAGAGGAGTTCCGTTATCCTGCAGAAAGATTACTTTTAAGACTGAGCACCCATTTAATACCCGAAGAAAGTTCATGTTTAGAGAGTTTGTGGGCAAAGTGAAACCCAGTGCACACAGGAAACTATGGCTGAGCACGGGGCTCACATCACAACTGCTTCTGCGGTGGATGACCAGCCATCCATCTTTGAGGTGGTAGCACAAGACAGTTTAATGACAGCAGTGAGACCTGCTCTTCAGCATGTGGTCAAGGTAAGGTATTAATTCTCTGAAAAGTTTTAGGGACGACTGGGCAAAAACCAAACCAATAATTTGAGTTTATTTGATAGCACACGTTTTGAAATAACCAATTAGCATGTAATTCATATCCTATGATTTATCAGTTATTGAGTCCCTGTTATGTGTAGAGGTCTGTACCGAATACCCAGCACTTCAGGGAGGTTACGGTAGACCCCAAAAGAAGTGACTTGGTTAAATCCAGTGTAGAATTGAGGGGAAAAAAGAAATATAAATACAAGGCATAGCAGCAATGTAATGGAATGAATTTCATTTATTGATTTATTTTGCTTTAGGTTCTTGCAGAATCCAATCCTGCCCACTATGGCTTCTTTTGGAGGTGGTTTGATGAAATCTTTACCCTGCTAGATCTTCTGCTCCAGCAGCATTATCTATCTAAAACCAGTGCCTCATTTTCTGAAAACTTTTATGGCTTAAAGAGGATTGTAACGGGAGATACGCACAAGCTTCAGAGATTGGCCAGTGCTGGTCTCCCAAAGAAGCAGCTCTGGAAGTCAGTTATGTTCCTGGTTCTTCTTCCCTACCTGAAAGTGAAGCTGGAGAAGCTGGTTTCTAGCCTGAGAGAAGAGGATGAATATTCTATCCATCCCCCTTCTTCTCGCTGGAAACGATTTTACAGAGCCTTTCTGGCAGCTTACCCATTTGTTAACATGGCCTGGGAAGGCTGGTTTCTTGTACAACAACTTCGATACATCCTTGGAAAGGCTCAGCATCACTCCCCACTGCTGAGTCTGGCTGGAGTCCGGCTAGGTCGACTTACACTTCAGGACATACAGTCTCTGGAGCACAAACCAGCAGAGGCCAGCAGGATGCAGCAACCAGCCAGAAGGTAAGGCCTTAACATCTCCCCCAAATCTTTGCTTATTAAATTCTAAAATCTTATCCCCATTTTATGAAATTCACCTCCCTCAGTCCACTTTGAGGCAGTTCATAAAATCATAGAAAAATTCTTGTGTCCGTCGAACAAGGACTGCCATCCTGGTAAGCTTCCTCCTCGTACTAGCTATATTTTCATGAATACTTGCTATGCACCAGGTGTTTTACATGCATTATCTCAATCCTCATCACAACTGCAAGAAATAAAGGCAGTAGCCCCATTTAACAGTTGAGGAAACTAGGCCCTAACAGCTAAGTACCTTGGCAAGGCCACACAGCTAGGAGGCCGAGCTGAGACTCAAGCCAGATCAACACAATTCTAAAGACTGTGCATTAACTACAATGCTACACCGCTTTTAGTGTTTGTGTTCTCCTGCAAGTTCAAATATATTCCTCAATACTGCTAAGTTATTTTTTAAGTGAGTTTTTTTTCTGGATATACTGTCTTCCACCAAACAAACAAAAAAGTTTATATAATCAATGTTTCACTAATTTCTTTCTCAAAACACAAAACACAGAAAACCTTAGTCATTAAAAACAAAGCTTAGAGCCAGCCCTGATGGCCTAGTGGTTAAGTTCAGCCCACTCGGCTTTGGCAGCCTGGCTTCAGTTTCTGGGAGTGGAATCACACCACTCATCTGTCAGCAGCCATGCTGTGGCAGCAGCTCACACAGAAGAACTAGAAGGACTTACGTCTAGAATATACAACTATTTACTGGGGCTTTGGAGAGGAAAAAGAAAACAAAAAACAAAGCTTAGCTCCTATACTCCTAAAACACTGTAAGTCAGAAAGAGGGAATAATTTAGAACAGATCTTTAAGGAGACACTGCCAAGCTAAGAACTATTCAATCCCCAAACTGAACCAATGATTCTGATGAAAACTGCATAAATGCATTTATATTAGTCATTCTGTGATTATACGTAAACAAACAGTTTCTCCTTTTGCCTCCTTATTTTACTCTCCCAACAGCATTAGTGAGAAGATAAAGTCAGCGTTGAAGAAAGCTGTGGGGGGCGTTGCCTTATCCCTCTCTACTGGCCTTTCTGTGGGTGTATTCTTCCTGCAGTTTCTTGAGTGGTGGTACTCATCTGAAAATCAAGAAACCATCAAATCATTGACTGCCCTGCCTACTCCACCACCGCCTGTACACCTAGACTACAATTCTGATTCTCCTCTGTTACCCAAAATGAAGACTGTGTGCCCACTGTGTCGTAAAACCCGGGTGAACGATACTGTTCTTGCCACCTCTGGCTATGTGTTTTGTTATCGCTGTGTGTTTAATTACGTGAGAAGTCACCAAGCTTGTCCTATCACAGGTTATCCAACAGAAGTACAACATCTAATTAAACTGTACTCCCCTGAGAACTGAATGGGATTAGCATCTTATCTCACAACAAAATTATTGCACTGAAAGGCCAGAGGGCTGGTTTTTTAGCATGGTACATAGCATTGTTTGATACTTCTTAGCCTCAATTCATAATTGTATGAACTTTAAACAACTATATGGATTTCCTTAAAAGGATATACCCATTGATCTTAACCTTTTAGCCTGCTCTCTAGACCCCTACTTAGAGTTGACCAAGCTGTTCTAGAATAAGAGAATCAGGAGTGGCAGGGGATGTGGAGGGCCAGTGTAGAAGAAGTGGATAAAAGAGGATAATTAGCACAGAAGCTTTTCTTATCTCCTTCCTTAAAGGACAAGAGGTATAGATGCTCTCAGGAAAAACCCATGCTAGACCTCAGAAAGTGGGTGGTGAAGGGGAAGCAGGCTTTTTCTTTAGAAAAGAAAGCATTTATGTGCCTATGAGGAATAGATTTTATCGGTTTGCAAACAATGTGAAATGTGGACCTGCTCTTTATAAAAATACTTAGAAACACTTGAAAAAAACAATGGCTCCTTCCATAGGCTGTGACCCATTAATTAAGTAACATCTGCTATAGTCTGTCAACTTTTAAAGATTCCTTTATGAGCCATACATATCTTTCTTGGGAAACTGGTTAAAGGAAAATAGGGGTCAAGTGTATATAGAGAATAGTCTGAAGATTTCACTGTGAAAGCCAAGCTAATAAGCAATGAAGAGATGAAGTAAAATACTGATCTATGACTATGTAAAGAAAGCATCTTTCCATAGACTCTTTCTACTTGCTGTTAAGCGTTTGCTAAACTGGCATGAATTATTCTGGCTATCACTAGTTTCTATGAAACACTTAAGTAAATTTCAAGAATAAATGTTTTTGGCAAAGAGCTGTCACATGTCATGATTACGTGGAAACTAAAAGATTACTTGAGGTGTTTAAAGTAAATTTTTCGGTCAGACCATCTTTGATTTTTTGAGATATTTCTGTATAAACATTTTGCTTTTTTTCGCTAATCCTTACTTGGAAAAAAAAAAAAAGTCCTCTACTCCCAACAGTGAGAATTCAGCCTTGTATAAAATACCTTGTATCAGGAATACTACAGAAACACTTAAGTTGCCTATGTAGAAAAATTCATATTAATGCTTTTATGTACCATAAGAAGAGTATAATGGATATTTGCAAAAATTCTTATTAAACTTCAAGGTCTTACCAAAGCAAATACCATAGTTAATTAAACAAACATTTTTAATATAGTATAAGTCAGTAAGGGAACTGAACCAGATTTAGGATTGAAACAGCGTAGTCCTCCAGGAAGATATCAAAGTCAGGTTTTTCACCTAAGAAGGAAAACATGAAAGGATCAGTAATTCCAAAGAATATCAAAGAAACACTCTTATACATAATAAAACCAGTATCCAAATAGGCTAGAACATACCAGTGTAGAAAAACCACAACCAGAATCAGCTCAGAGAGAAGATTAAGGGATCATCCCCTGGTCAAAGCCAACACTGAAGCAATGGCAATACCAGGTCAGACTATACTTCACTCATCATCGCATCATTGCATTTCACGTCCTTGTATTATGTAACAGTAGCCCAAGACCCTCTTTGCACATCCAAGAAAACTAGGTTTATCTATGAAAGAAAAAAAAAAGTCTTGCTTTTAGACGAGTTTCAACCATGGGCTTTCAATACATATTTTATCTTCTACTATGTTTTGCTTTAAGCAACTGTGCCGTACAAAACTGCAAACTTGAACAAGTTTTGTTTTGGAGGGGGGCTGTTTCTGAAATACAGAGGAGGGTGGAGAAGCATTTACAGTTCAAAAACATGTTTTTGGTTTTTTTTTAAATGAGCCCAAACACCGTGTATGATAAAATCTCAGGGATGTCTATGAAGGGATTTATAGTCTTGTTCTAAAGCAAAAGCTTTAGAAAAGATTTTCTACTAAATTCTTTTATAAGGTAAACTCCAGTTCATTTAATATACAATTTGATTTACAATTCTGCTGCCAACAAAGATAAAAAGTACAGTCACAAAATTTTTAAACCAGTATTTTCTATCTTAAGAGTCCAAGACCCAGAGAGGCTATGATTTGCCAAAGGTCCACAGCAAATTAACAGCAGAGCTGGAAAGAGAACTGAGTTCTGATTACAAGATTTATATTTTTCCACTACCAACTAAATATAAGGTTTTATTTCATTTTTCTCCAGGCCATGGGCAAGATAAAGGAAGCAATGCAAAGCCTGGGTAATTCACAACCCAGATAATCAACTTCTGAATGAGAAGGCTGACTGCATTTTACTTATTCTAAATGAAACCTCCTGGTGGTATACTATGGCTGACATGGAAAAGTACTAGGATCACAAAGTCACCCTCTCCAGCCTTTCAAGCCCGGTATTGTCAATATCTGAATAATTCTGGACACACCACATGCTTCCTTCAGGCATCTATAAATGTCAATAGATTGATACTCCATAGTTGAAAACTGACAGCTTGTTGGTCTTTGTTCAGTGTCCACCATCCAGCAACTAAGCTCCACAGAGACAGGGAAACTAACAAAGTGCCTGTTTTTTCTCTCTCTCCTGATCCTCTATAGGTGAAGTAACTACACGTTAAAAATGAGGAAACAGGCTGAGAGAACTTAATTTAAGTAACTTTATCTAAAAGCATGAAACTTGTAAGCAGAGCTGCAAATGTGCTCCAGCCACACACAGCAGGCACGCTTTCCTAGTCTCTTCCTCAGTACACTTTGCTCCACCCGGAGTGCCTGCCTCATCCCTGTCAACCTGGAGAGCGCTCACTTAGTTTTAAAACCTTACTCAAACGTCATCTTCTCTGTTAAGTGGTCCCTAACTCCGAGTCATCCCCTCCTCGGACTCCCATCAGAGCACGCATCACACGCGGGTTACTCATCCATTCACATCCCCCACCTCCCTGTCTCTCCCACCAGCCCCATCACGGTGAGTTCCTAGAGAACCAGGACTGTGGCATACTGGCCTTCGCGTCCAGCACGCTCAGAATGGTGCCTGATACAGAGAGGAGGCTCAATAAATGACCGTCTAATTCAGTCAGCGAGCGACCTTCCCTACTAAACCCTAAACGCCCAGATTATAAAAGCATCAGCACAATTGGTAAAGCCTACTTACCTCCAACATTCCACGTAAGGACCATACCTCACGCATCTCTAACCCCTCCTTCGCCCAGCTACCTAACAGCGCCCTGCGCAGGACAACCAATGCTTACACACAGCGGACCCTTAAAACTAATAAGGTCCAAACCCCACCAACTTGAGGGGAAAACGGCGAGAAACCGTCCTGGCGGGGAAACACGAATAAGGCCACATCCAGGGCTCAAACCAAAGATCCATGCAGGAGTCCGCAGCCCGCTTTCCGGACTCCTAAAACTCCTGCGCCCTAAGCTCTCAGTACGTTTGCCCCAGCCTGCAGACGCTGAAGGCAGCTGGCTCTCGGCCTTCGGCTCCCCAACAAAACTCACTTCCCGCCTCCCAACCGCCTCCGGTTCGCTGCGCCGCGGCGCCCCACAGTCCAGTGCGGCCCTGGCCGGACAACCAATCCCGCGGCGGCCAGTGGCTCACGTGGGCCACGAGGCGGGGCTGGTGCGAGGGGCAGCCAATCGGAGGGCGAGGCGGACGTCAGGGGTGCGGCGGGCCGGGTGGTGGAAGCGCGCTTGCCGTCGCTGCTTTGCGGGGTGCTTTCTATTTTCGGAGATGGGGAAGTCGCTTTCTGGGCTCTGACCGTTTAGCTCCTGGCTCTCCATTCCCCGCCGTGGGGCTTTGGGACCGCTGTGAGGAGTGGTTTTCCCTGAGCTCGTTTCACAGTTGGAGAAGGCCGTCTGAGGCAGTTATGCCCTGGGCTTCCGGGAAGAAATATCGATTCAGACAGTGATCCAACACTGTTTTTTGCGCTGGTCCGGATTCCCGCCTGAGGGTTGGGGGTTGGGGTGGACTCACATGGATGTGTCCCTCTCCGTCCAGGGGAACTCATTGGCTTTCCGTTTGCTTCGTAAATAAGCAAGAAGTGCCACAAGAAAAGTACAGCTAAATATTAAAGAAATGCGAAGGAGAGCGAGAAAGACTGGGAGAGGTGGCATTTGCTCTGGGTCTTGAAAAAATGGGTGGGATTTGAGAATTAGGTTCTGGTAGAGAGAATAACTCCCGAATTAAATGGCAAAGCATGGGGGAGCCTACCAAATTTAGGTAAAGTTGAAACATTGTAGTGTTTCTCAGAATTCAGTAAATTAGAAACACAAGGGGACCTGCCCGGTGGTTAAGTGCTCACGTTCCACTTCAGCAGCCCTGGGTTCACTGGTTTGGACACCGGTTGTGGACCTATGCACCGCTTATCAAGCCATGCTGTGGCAGGCATCCCATGTATAAAGTAGAGGAAGATGGGCACGGATGTTAGCTCAGAGCCAGCCTTCCTCAGCGAAAAGAGGAGGATTGGCAGCAGATGTTAGCTCAGGGCTAATCTTCCTCGAAAAAGAAAAAAGAAACACCAGGAGCAAACAACAATATAGATGTCTTCCAGCATCAAAAACAAATAGGAAAATCCCAAAATGCCTGGGGCACAACCCAGACTTACTGAATCAGATATTTTATTGAGATCATAATAGTTTATAACATTGTGAAATTTCAGTTGTACATTAGTGTCAGTCACCATGTACACGTGGCTCTTTACCCCTTATGCCTAGCCCCCAGCCCCCTTCCCTTCCGGTAACTGCTAAACTGTTCTCTTTGTCCATTTGTTTACCTCCCACATATTAGTGAAATCATACAGTATTTGTTTCTGACTTATTTCGCTTAACATAATACCCTCAAGGTCCATCCATGTTGTTGTGAGTGGGACAATTTTGTCTTTTTTATGGCTGAGTAGTATTCCATTGTATATATACACCACATCTTTATCAAATCATCAGTTGTTGGGCACTTGTGTTGCTTCCACGTCTTGGCTATTGTGAATAATGCTGCAATGAACATAGGGGGTGCATAAGTCTCTTTGTATTGTTGATTTCAAGTTCTTTTGGTAAATACCCAGTAGTGGGATCCCTGGGTCGTATGGTATTTCTAATTTTCTGAGAAATCGCCATACTGTTTTCCATAGTGGCTGCACCAGTTTGCATTCCCACCAGCAGTGTATGAGGGTCCCCTTTTCTCCACATCCTCTCCAACATTTGTTATTTTTTTTCTTTGTAATTATAGCCAGGCATGTATATTTTTAATAAGTGCCCCAGGAGTGATTCTGAGTCACACCAAAGTTTGAGGACCAGTGATAGTGTTAAAGAAAGTGGGTGTTAGGAGATTTGAAAGACAGGTCAAGATTTTGTTAGGGATGGTGGCTTGCTAGCTGTGTAGTTTAGGCTACTCTGGAGAAAGTGGAAGCTTTGAAGATTTCAGAGCCCAAGGAGGTAGGTGATCAGAGCTGCACTTTAGAAAACTCAGTATGCAACTGTGTATTTAAAGATTGAAGGAAGGCAGAGTGAAAGCAGAGGAAGCTATTGCAAACAATTGCAATGGTCCAGGTGAGAGCTAATAAGAGCCTAAATTAGGGCTGTGGCAGTGGTAATGGAGAGGTAGCCTATGAATGGCAGCATGAGGAATGGATGAGTGTCAGATAGGGATGGGTAGGACATGAAGAAATAAAAAGGAAGAATGGGGAAGAATGGAGGGTCTTCCATACCAGACCTGCTAAGGACCTCCATTGTGCTTTAAGGATAGGAGAGGTTAGGCAGGGAAGAGAATGTGCCTTTGCGTGTGGTGTTTCCTCTGCCTGGCTTTCCCTTCCTTCTCCATCTCCCTTTGTCAGCCTGGTGCATGCTTACTTGCAGGTTCCAGCTCAGATACCATCTCATTTAGGAAACCTTACCTCACAAGCATAGTTATTGTCACTCCTCAGAACACCCAGATCACACTGTTCATACGGTGGTAGCTCTCCAGAGTGGCACCAGAGTGTAGTGGTCATGCATATGGACTATGTTTGCAAGCACCATGAATTCTCTGTTCCTTAGTTTCCCCATCTGTAAAAAGGGGATAATTATGGCACTTATCTCAGGGAGCTATTACAAGAATTGAATGAGAACAACACCAAGTACATAGAGTGCTCTACTAATGTTATTGTGCATGTTGTATTGCAATGTCTAATGCATGTTTTCCCTCTCTAGATTGGGAACAAGACATGTGTCTTGTTCTTCTGGCTAACAGTAAGGCACAATGATAGTAAATGGGTTTTGGAATCAGACAGACGGGTTCAATCCCAGCTCTGTACTTACCCTGTGTGTAACCTTGAGCTTTACTTCCCTGAACTCAGTTTATTCATTTATAAGACAGTGAAAATAATACGTGTCTTACAAGTTATGAGGACAATTTGAGATAATCAAAGTTGCATATCTGGCCCAAAGAAGGCAGTCACTAAATGGCAGTTTTTATTTTCATGTGTAGCTCCAGAGCATAACACCATGTTCAGAACACAGTGAGTGCTTAATAATTGATTATTGAATGGAAAGCTGACATTATATTCCAGGAACCATGCTAAGCTCTTTATGTACAACATCTCACTTCATTCTGATAAGAACTCTATGGAGAACGTACTGTTATTATCTTCAGTTTACACAGAAGGAATCTGAGACTTAGATTAAAGTCTTACCTTTGACCAAGTTCTCAAAGCTAGAAATTGCCAGATTTTAATCCCCTGGGTGCTCAAAAATAGTTGATTGAATGAAAGAATGAATGAAAGTTAGGAGACTTACCCTGAGTCAGGTGGAACCAGCACTGTTGCTCTTGGTCCCTGTGCATCTCCATAGTCTTCAAGTCATCTCTACGAATGAACTGAAGGTGAGATGCAGGCTGGTATTTGGCAGTTGGTGTATAGTGAGCACAAAGGCTGTGCTGTAACTACCTCTGCTAATAAACTGAAATGCTTAGTGAATAAACACATCTTAAATAAACTGGGGGCTCTAATTCTTGGCCAATTGTCAACAGCATGGCCAGATCACCTTCCCAAGACCTAGGAAAAAGCATTGTCCAAGTTACTGATTTCAAGTGGCTTTGTATCATCCATATTTGCTTTTGAGGTGTCAGAGCCAAGATATGAGATCCGCCCCCCTCCTGCCCGGCCTGAGAACCTAAGTATTTATAACCAGGGAACTTAACAAAGGAACTTTGAAGAAGGAAGAGAGACTCTCTTTGCTCATCTTTCACATTATTCCTCCTCCTGATTTGGTCCCCCATTGTGCATTTAAGAAGAATAAGAAGGAAACAACAATCCAGTCCCGAGTTCTCCCGCCCAAATAATGTTCTTCCTGTTGACTTGGAAGAAAAAGGGGAGGTACTTAGGTAGCTTTCTGATTTTGAAGACTCCGAAGCAATCCAGAATCCCAAACTTGACAGGCAGTGGAAGGAGTAGGAGCACTTGTATGAGGCAGACCTGGCTTTGAACCCTGGCTCTTCCGCTTGCTGGCCATGTAATCTCAGTGTAGTGTATAAAGCTCCCAGCTTGGTCCCTTGCACCCAAATGCATATGTCAAGCAAATGATGATCATGTTTATCCTTCTAAAACTAAGTACTATCAGAGGGATTTCAGTGTGTGAGTGAGGCTGGGAATTAAGGTAAATGGTAGAATTAAAAGTGATACAGAATTTGGAGGTGAAGAAATGTCAAAAAGGGTTAAAGTTGAATCTGATAGCAGGCCTTTGGGGTTTATGATGTTGCCGTGCTGATTATACATCATAGTATCCCTTCTGCCTCCTATCCTGGAAATGCTATTCAGCCAAACATGTATAAAGGATAATGCCAGCAAAGCAGAACTTTGAAGGAACAGCAACCTCAGTTAAAAAAACTAGGAATGTCCAGAAACCTATTTAAGATGTTATTTCATCATAAACAAATTGAAGTAGAAACACAGAGTTGTCTGATGGTTTGATTTAGAGGGAGACAAGTATATTCGTTTCCTGTGGCAGCTGTAACAAATTAGCGCAAACTTGGTTGCTTGAACAACAGAAATTTATTCTCTCACAGACAGAAGTTTGACATCAGATTCACTGGGCAGAAATCAAGGTGTCGGTGGGGCTGTGCTACCCCTAGAGGCTCTAGAGGGAAAATCCATTTCTTCTCTCCTCCAGCTTCCAGTGGCTGCGGGCTTTCCTTCACTTCTGGCCACCTCACTCCAGTCTCTGCCTCTACGGGTCTCATTGCCTCCTCCTCTTTTGTGGGTATCAAAGCTCTCTCTGACTCCCCCTTGTGAGAACACTTGTAATTGGATTTAGGGCTAACCTGGATAATCCAGGATAATCTCCCCATCTCAAGATCCTCACTCCATCACATCTGCAAAGACCCTTTTTCCTTATAAGATAACATTTACAGGTTCATAACAATAATAAAAATAATAATTGGTAACTATTATTCAGCCTACTACAAGAAGCTTGATCCAGCTTAACCAGCATTCCCAAGTGAGATAACTATCTCTTACCTGTTTATTTTTTCATTTGTTTTTTTAGTCATAAAAATAATTGATGTTCATTGTCAATCATTTAGAAAATACAGAAAAGTTAAAGGAAAAGAAAGAAAGGAAATTAAATGAAAAACAATTTTTAATCCTCTCACCCAGGGATAGCCAGCCCCTGACCAATGAGCATTTTTCTAGGCTGGGCCCAACAAAGAGGAAGAACAGGAAAAAGAGAATAAAAGTAAAGAGAATGGAACAAGCAACTTGGAAGGTAATGAAATAGGTTAATATCGCTCATAATGGACGTGTACACGGCAGCCTAATTTAAAATGGATGTAGAGCTTTGAAGTGAAATTAACCAGGACAGGAGGTGCTTGTATGATGTGTGGAAATGACGCTCAGTCCCTTAGAGGTGGAAAGTTTAGTTTTGGCCTCTCACTTGAAAACCCCTGAATTTTCCCAATACTACCTCATTCACTCCTAGAAGTCAGACCCTGGACTACTAATCTGCCTTGTCATAGGCTTTTCTTGAGTCCTTATCAGCCTTGCTCAGTGGGCCAATGTTATGAAGACTGGGGGAGTCTGGCAGGGTGCCTGCTCCTCCCAGGCTGATATCAAAGGGCAACAGGACTGTGACAGAAGGCAAACATTCAGACCAAAGCCAGATGTGGAACTGAAACAGCAAGAGGAAAAGCCAGAGCATCAGGTAAAAAAAATTTTTTTCTTAAATCTCATACATCTCCTTGTAGGTGCAGTTTATGTCTGAGGGTATGAAAGACTTAGTAAAATAGTAGCTAAGGAGAAACTTGCAAAGGAAAATGAGTGAGAAATTTTGGAAAGAGTGGAAAACATATTCATAGGGAGCTACAATCTCAGAAAACTGTATCTATCATAGTAGCTACCAGCATCCAAGTAACGTCAATGAGACTTGGGAGTTATGCGAGTTTAGGCCTGCTAGTTCAGAAGCAATTAGATTTGGTCTGTGGGTCCCAGCAGGTGGAAATTATAAGGAGACAAATTACAGCTGACAATAAGGAAGCCATTTCTAACAGCTGTTGGAAAATAGAAGGGACCAATTCAAGAGGTGGTGAGATACTTGTCACTGGAGGTGGTCAAGCAGTTGCTGGAAAGCAGTTTGTTGGGAGTTGGGAATATTACAGAGAGGATTTAAGAATCAGGTAGATGGTTGGAACAGAAGATCTTTAAAGTCCCTTCCAACACTTCTGTGATTCTATGATATGAATAGAACGTTATCAGAAATTTCTCTAAGGAGCCATACATTTACATTTACCCGTAGGAGATGCTCACAGATGAAAAAATAATTCATGAGGTTGATTCTGGTTTGCCTGGAGGAAGTGAGAAGGAAACCAAGAGCAAACTAATGGCAGAGGAGGGTACAGGTCCTGCTGGATGCCTGCTTTTTTCCCTCTTGGTGGTTATAAACCACAGGGCCCCTGTTTTGCCAAGATCACATAGAAGAAATGGGTTCTCTTCTTCTAGTGGAAGAATTTTGGTTTGGGTTAGTAAATACTTTATTTCACAGTTAACAAAAGCTAAGGGAGTCATTTCTGAACTATTTGCTTCAGAGCTCTAATTTCAATTTAGGTGGCTATTCTCTGGTCTATGAAGCAAAAGGAGGTTGACCACTGTTTAGTAACTATGTCCCAAAGGCTCATGTTCTTTTCCAAGTCTTAGAGGTTCCCACCACACAGGGCAGAACTATTTGGAAGGAAGGAAAACTGCTTCTGCATCACACTGTACATGAAGAAACATACTTTTATAATTTAGAAGAACATTTGGTGTCAACTGACATTTAGGTGTAGAATAAAGCTTTTTAAAATGTATAAAATAGCACATAAAAATACCAAGTTTTATGTTTGTTTTTATAGATCTTCCACATCACATATACTCAAAACTATACTCCCTTAGTTTTCTATTGCCTTCCTTTCTTTCCCCTTGGAATGATAAATAGGAGCATCTTATGCTTCAATTTCTAATTCTGCATATATGCTAATAACTTACTTTGGCTCCTGTGCCAACCCGTGCCCTTCATATCTGGGCTTACTGTTGGCACTTCCTGATTTTAAGTGAAAAGCAGCTAAAAATTTCAGCAATGTAAGTTTTCCATTATGGCAAAATATTAAGCATTCACCTTTATCTGTGCCCATTCACGCTGGAAAGGCTAAGAATCTGGGCAAAGTTGTTAGAAAACAATAATATCAAAGGTTATTTCCAATGTTAAAACGAATCTCCAATAATTTAAAGCTTTGAAGAAAATATTGTGACCTCTGGAGTTCTTGTCAATGTAGAAAAAGCATTTCTGTCCTGATGACCCCTTTCTGTTATTGTCTGAAGCACAGAGGGGCTGCTGTGATGGAGAGTCTCAAGACTGACACGGAAATGCTCTATCCTGAGATAACTGTAGAAGTGGGCAGAGTGACTTTTGGAGAAGAGAACAGGAAGAAGATGACCGATAGCTATTTGAAAAGAACTGAGAATTCTAAAATCATCCAAGCTACATGTGCACTGTTAAATTCTGGAGGGGGTGTGATCAAAGCGGAGATCGATGATAAAACTTATAATTACCGATGCCATGGGCTGGGACAGGATCTGGAAACTTCTTTTCAAAAGCTCCTTCCTTCAGGTTCACAGAAATACCTTGACTACATGCAGCAGGGGCGCAATCTCCTGATTTTTGTGAAGTCATGGAGCCCAGATGTTTTCAGCCTCCCCCTCAGGATTTGCAGCTTGCGCTCCAATTTATATCAGAGAGCTGTGACTTCCGCTATCAACTTGAATGCCAGCAGTGCCCTGGAACTGCTCAGAGAGAAGCAGTCTAGAGCTCAGAGAGGAAGATCGAGGGTGAAGGAGCTGCATCCTCAGAAAGTTCTTGACAGAAACATTCAGGAAGAGGAAGATATGAGGATGTTTGCCTCAGAATTTTTTAAAAAGGACAAGCTCATGTATAAGGAGAAACTCAACTTCACTGAGTCAACACATGTCGAGTTGAAAAGGTTCACCACCAAAAAGATTGTCCCTCGGATTAAAGAAATGCTGCCTCATTATGTGTCTGCATTTGCCAATACTCACGGGGGATACCTAATTATTGGGGTGGATGATAAGAGCAAAGAAGTGTTTGGATGTAAGAGAGAAAAAGTGAACCCTGACTTATTAAAAAAAGAAATAGAAAACTGCATAGAAAAACTGCCTACCTTCCACTTCTGCTGTGAGAAGCCAAAGGTGAATTTCACTACCAAAATCTTGAATGTGTACCAAAAGGATGTTCTGTATGGTTATGTCTGTGTGGTTCAAGTGGAGCCTTTCTGCTGTGTGGTATTCACAGAGGCCCCGGATTCCTGGATCATGAGGGACAATGCTGTCACAAGGCTGACGGCTGAGCACTGGGTGGCCATGATGCTGGATATTCAGTCAGGTAAAGCAGAAGTCATTATTCAGTCAGCTGGGAGGAACCCCCTCCTCTGCCTTCTGTGGTTATTTGGTCAGATATTTTAGTTTAAGAATGGAAAGCTGGGGCTGGCCCAGTGGCATAGTGGTTAAGTTCTGTGTACCCTCCTTGGGCAGCCCGGGTTCTCAGGTGCAGATTCCTGACATGGATCTACACCACTCATCAAGCCATGCTGTGGTGGCGACCCAAATATGAAATAGGGGAAAGATGGACACAGATGTTAGTTCAGGGCCAATCTCCTACACTGAAAAAAATAAATAAATAAAATAAAAATAGAAAGCTGTTTTTGCTTACAAACATTCTCCCATTACAGGATTCTTTCCCAAACATTTTTAGTTCCAAAGACTCAGAATATGAACTCTTTGAGGTCAAGAAATTCTTGGATGTTAGTCTGCTTTGGAAAAGTTATACTTTGCCGTCAGCCATTGATTAGCAGAAGTTCCCTTTTAGGCACTGTAAAGGCCTGTTGAAAAAAGGTTGCAGGTTGATATTCATAGTCAAAATGTTCATCAATAGTCTCACTCTAAAGATATTTCAGAGAAACATTAAGAATGACTCTTCACTAATTCTTTCAAGGGAAACTAACTGACAAATCTGAACTGTTTTTGTAACATTAGGAGCTCATACCTTAAAACCTGTGGGTTTGAGGCACCACCAAGTGGGGGAAAACCAATGTAAAAGGAGATGCTGGAGCAGGGGATGGCGCTGGGGGAGGGCGCCTTTTGATGTTTTCACATCCCTTGCAGTTTTGCTCAGAATCAGCCCTGAAGATTTCTAATCACTCCATAAAGGACTTATAGGCCGAACGAGGCTCCTCAGTTTGCTTTCATGGTCAATACGTTCCAAATTTGATAAAAGAAGCTTGAGTGAAGACTTGAGTGATTTTATTGGATTATTCTTTCTCGTGTCCTAAATTTGTTTACTTTTCTCATACCCCGCCCCACCCCCCGCCACTAGGGATCCTTCTACCTTCTATTCCATCGGAACCTTGGATGGGGCCTTAAACGACAACTATAACAATATAAAAAAATACTGTGCTTAACTTTTCCTGATCCCCACTAGCAGCCTGTCCTCTTAGAGACGACCTGGAATCAGAGTATTAGAGTGGGAAGGAAGCTTAGGGATCATTGCAGGAGAGAGAGGTGAAATGACTTGCCCGAGATGAGTCGCACAGTGACTTAGGAGATGCGTGACCCTGCAGGAGTCCCCAGACTTCCTTTCCTAACATATATGAATTGCTTCAGGCAAAGAAAGCGTGAGTCAGCTCAGGCTGGATGCACATCACATGTCTCCAATAGGAAGAGCAATAGAAGTTCTTTTCCTTTGTCCTTTCCTTTTTGTCTGACACAACTTTCCGCGCATTCGTTGGGCAGCCTCCAGTCTGGCCACAGACCACGGTCTTCCCCTGAGTTCACCAGCTTCATCTGCACTTAGAAGCCCGTCATTTCCCACAAAAGTCTTGGAATTTAAGGGGGCTCTACAACAACGTTTGTTTCCAGGTACTCCTTCTTGATTTCAGCTGAGGGGACTATTTGTTTTCTAAAATTCAGTTGGGAGGAATTGGTGACAATTAGTCCAAGTCTTTCTCCTTAGGGAAGGTCAAATGTAGGCTGTAGCAGACATAATGGTCCCAGATGGCCAACTCTTGTTTTCCAGTCATCAAAGCCACACTATACTTCTGTGTGCTTTGGGGCTTCCAGTCACATATAGCTTTTGTTCTCCAAATTTGAGAGAATTTAGGAATTTTCCTCGATTCTTTAGGTCTATACCACAAGAGACTGCCCCCTGGCTTTCCAGTGCAGCAGAAGGTGAGCCATGGGGTTCTAAAGCACAATTTCTCAACCTTGGCACTATTGACATTTGGGTCAGATCACTCTTTGTTGACAGGGGTGGCTCTGTGAATTGTAGGATGTTTAGCAGCAGTCCTGGCCTCTCCCCTCTAGATTCCAGTAACACCCCTCCAGCTGTGACAATCAAAAAATTTCCAAACATTGCCAAATGTCTCCTGGGGGCAAAACTGCAACAGTTTAAGAATCATTGTTCTAAAGGGAAGTTGTAGGTTCCCCCAAAGCATCAGGTTTACAAAAAAAACTTAACGGGAAGGAATCCCTTCTTTGCAGTAATGGACCATTTGGGGTTAAGGAGAGGGTGCTAGGAGGCTGTTCTGTGGAGACCCCTCCCTGCTTGCCTTCGCCTGCAGGAGAGCTGTCAGGAATGGGAACTTTACAGTCGTGGCCTGTGAAGACGCAGTGCTTTCTTTGTAGACAAGGAAACCCATAGTTCCATGGCTAGACTCATTTCTTCTCATGAGGTGACAGGAATACTTAGGATATGCCTTCGTGAATTTTAGTAACTCCTATTCCTTGAATTTTCAGTGACACAGGAAGAGATACAATTTAAACCAGAATCCCTCTGTAAGAAGTTATTCTCAGATCATAAAGGACTGGAGGAATTAATGAAGACACAGATATATCCTTGTTCTCAGGGGATTGTGATATTTTCTAGAAGCTGGGCGAGTGACGTTGGCTTAAGGAAAGAGTGGAATGTCCTGTGCGATGCTCTCCTAATAGCAGTTAACAGCCCCTTGGTACTCTATACAATCTTAATAGACCCCACCTGGACTGGAGGGCTTGCCTATGCACGAAGCACTGCTCATCAGTTAAAGCAGAAACTGGGAACTGTTGGTGGTTACACAGGGAAAGTATGTGTCATTCCAAGGCTGATACACCTGTCCAGCACGCAGTACAGACCTGGTGAAATCGCCATGCACTACCCCCAATCCTACAGGCTTCCCAGTGAAAATGAAATGGAAGACCTGTTGCAGGCCCTTATTGTGGTCTCACTGAGCTCCAGATCTCTTCTGAGTGACCAGCTGGGCTGTGAATTTTTCGACTTGCTCATAGCGGAGCAGGGTGAGCTGCTCTCAGAGAGCCTTCGGGAGACACGAGAATTGTTCATCCACTGCTTTCCAGGAACCAGGAAGACAGCCCTAGCCATAAGGGTCATGGAGAAAATGAAGGATTTGTTCCACTGCAAACCAAAAGAGATCCTCTATGTTTGTGAAAGTGACTCCTTAAAGGATTACGTGACGTAAGAGTTTCACTAATTAAACACAAGAAATGTATTTACTCAGTCTTTTCAACAGTATCACGAAAGTAATTTGTGTTTTTAGTTTAAGATTTTGCACTGCCTCAGCTGCATAAGTGCAAGGAGCCCAGCCTACATACACATTTCCAAGTGATACTTGCAAAAGTGGTACTTTGCAATGTTCAGACTTAAACATCTCATTATAAATTAGCCAAGGATGCATAACTTTAAATTTATATAACTGGAAACATTAATTTCTTCGCAGATTGTGAAAATTTAAAGAAAATTTAAGAAAAGTAGAAATGAACCTATCTTGCTTTACATATACTTTTTGCTTGATACTTAATGCTTGAAGTCCTAAGGTATTTCAGTTAATTAGACATTATACCTAACAGGAACTTGAATTGAAATACCATTTGATTTTGCTTATAAAATATTTTAATTTGTTTGACTGTTCTGAATCAATAATTTTAGAAAACATGCAAATTTGCTTCTGATTTAAATCTTTAGCTTTCACATTAGTAAAAGAAATTGGTTGCTATCCAATCTAGCAAATGGGGGCAAACTCATTTGCTAATAAATCTTTTTGGGCATCATTTATATGCTAGGTACTGTATACATTTAGTGTTAGTGGGAAAAAAACACATTGAAGACCTTGTCATAAAGCCCAATAAGGGAGACAAAGAAAAAAAATAAGCAATGTGAGTATTGTGTAATTAGCATGATAATAAAGATATGCTTATCTCAACTTAGGCTGGCTTTAGTCACTTAGTCACTTAGTCACTTAGTCACTTAGACAGCAAATACTCCCCAGTGAAGAAGATCCTTGGGCACACTCTTAAGAAGTCAGTAGAAGTAAATAAAATGAAAGTGTTTTAGGCAAAGGGCACATTAAGTACAAAGTTACAGAGACACTAGAGAACCAGAAAAGCAGGTCTGACTGGAGCAGTGAGGGAGTGTGGGTTTGTGGCAGGTGATGAAGTTGGAAAGGAGATAGATGCCAAATTATGAAGGATCTTGTAAACTGTGCTAAGGGCTGTGTCCTTCTTTATGCTTCGTAGGCAAGTTTAAAAATATCACAGTCAAAAGACAAATTCAGTTCAACAAATATCTATTAAACCCCTAATGTGAGGGGGATACAGAGATGGCTAAGAACCAATACCTTTCTTCAAGAAGTCTACACCATCCTAACTGGAAGAGCAGAACATGAATAGCTATGATTCAAGGCACAGGGAGTAAAGCTGCAGGGACTGCACACGTAAGAGCAGGAAGTCTGCAGGGATGAGCAATGCTACCTGGATCCAAATTAGAGGAGGCAAGAAACAACTAAGTTTGTTAACATATATATATATATAATGGCATATATATTATAGCATATATAGCATATATATGCTAAAACATATTATAAAGGAACACTGAGCTAAGTAAACAGGGTAGAAGCTCCAGAGAGGCATAGCCCTGTAGATTTGTTACCCTATGTGACAGGTCACAGAATTCAGCAACCTCTTGATGTTTTTCTTCCCAAAATCGAAAGAGCCTACAGGTTTTGTACTACCAGGAAGTGGGGAAACAGGATTTGCTCTGGAGGAATTTCTATCAGCCCATACCTCTTTTGCGTATAAAAATTATGCTATGCCTCTAGGTGATAGTTCTCCAGCTCTAAAAAGGACAGAAAGTAAAGAAGTGGTAGTAAGAAGTGTAAATTACTTTTGAGATTTCCTTTAGATGTAAGGAGCTTGTCAAGCAGCGGAAATAGACTACTAATAGAAATAATAAAATCTCCTACCTGGGTTCATTTTAAAAGCTTCACATGCAATTTAACTAGATAACCCCAAAGAGTAGAGTTTGCAATTATGTATCCTGTCTGTCAAGTAACTTATAACAGAGCACTTTTGTAGTATCCAGGATGCTACAGAATCAATGATTTGGCCTGCAGATGAAAACTAGCCTCTGATTCCAATCCAGAGAGCAACGAATGCATGGTGTTCCCTTTGTTTATATGCCTGAAACCCTATTTTCTCTTTTATCCTTACAGCCAGAAAACCACCTGCCAAGCTGTGACCCAGAAAACCTTCATGCAAGGGGAGTTCCTAAAGATTAAACACATAGTGATGGATGAGACTGAGAATTTCTGCAGTCAATATGGAGACTGGTACACGAAAGCTAGGAGCATCACCCATCCAAAGGTGAGAGGGGCTGGAACCGAGAACCTTCACCATGGGATTCTCTGGCTTTTTCTTGACCCTTTCCAAGTCCATCATGGAGCTGTCAATGGCCTTCCCCCTCCATCTGCTCAGTTTCCTCGAAAAACAATCACCAATGGGATCCACTGTGCTCTGGAGATAGCAATGGTCATGAAAGAAGAAATGAAGAAGATCAAAGAAAACCCTCCCTCCAACATGTCCCCGGACACATTGGCATTGTTCAGGGAAGCTTCCTACAAGGAAGCAATGTGTGCCCAGGCTCTGCCTGGGGTGTGTGAGACAGAGACTAACATGACAACAGAACAGATTGCGAAACACGTGGCAGAAAGATGTCACAACCTGTTCCAATGTGGTTACTTGCCCAAAGATATAGCAATTCTGTGCAGGAGAAGGGAGGACAGAGGACGCTATGAGCTTGCACTGCTAAAAGCAATGAAATTAATGGAGACCCACGGAGCAACAGAAGTTGTGTTCAGCCAGGCTGCCGGTGTTTTGGGCAGTCATATCGTTTTAGACAGTATTCAGCAGTTTTCAGGCCTGAAGAGGAATATTGTGTTTGGTCTCAGTCCAGAATGTGCCCTGTCAGACGAATTTCATAAGCTCTGCTTTGCCTCAAGAGCTATTAAACACCTCTACCTGCTTTATGAAAAGAGAGCAGCCTTCTGAAAATTATTTCAAATACAGGAAGGGAGAAAGAGCAAAGTCCCCTCTCCCAGACGGGCACAGAGTGCAGCAACTCTTTTTTCAGACAGGGGCAGCTACTCTTTCCCATATTATAAGTGAGGAAATCAAGGCACACTCAGTGTGGTGTGGAGCCACAGAAATGACTCTTGGGTCTAACCCTTCTAGTCTATTTGCAGTGTCACTGTCCTTTTCCCAGTCCACTTCACCTCCTCCCTGTACAATTACAACAGACTTATAATTGGTCCCCTGCCTCCAGTTTTCCTAGACCGATCCAACTTTCATCCAGTTAACCAGAGAAGTTCTCCTCAAATAGAGAACTGATTTTGTGACATCCCCTGCTAATGTGTCTTCAGTGAGTCCCTGCTGTCTTCCCACCAAACCAATTTTCAAGGCTTTCCATGCTACACCCTGACTTACTCTCCTAACGCATCCTTTATTATACTTCCATTTCCCAATGTTTCTAATGCACTGCAGCCTGCCTGGCCTATCTTGGGGGCGGGGGTAGGATGTCCTCCAGGCTACTTACTTTGACTGGGTGTCTCAAGGGTAGCACCTTGGTTGGCACCTCAAACTGGCTACAGGTCTCATGCTTTCTAGGTGCAGAACTTGATTTCTCCTTTGCACTGACTCTGGATCAGTCTTTTGGGGATGGCTTTATGCTAATCAAGCTCACAAAAGACCAATGCATAAATAAAAATGCCACCCTGTCAATTTGCAGTGAGGGTTGTAGTAATAAGTGGGCCAGATGCTTTTGCTAATCAGTACATTCAATGTAACATAGGAAGCCAAATTTTATAAGCATAGCTTTGCAGCAATGGGAGCTGGTAATCTGATTCAAACGTGTGAAGACTTCAGGCTATGTTAGACTGTTGCAGTCATCTCTAAAATAGGGATATTTCCACCACAAGGACTAGACAGGTCATGTTTACAAAATAAAGCAAATTTAGAATGCCAAGAGTGACTAGTTGTTCCATATTCTTTGCCTCAGGTGAAATTTTTTTTTCTCTCCGAGTTTCTAAAGTTTCCAGGTTGACCACCAATCTTCCCCTCAGTCCTCCCAACACGTGCATACTTTGCTCACATTCATCTCTACAGGTTAATACACTCATCTGGGTCAGAGACTGCTTGCACTCTGCCGCTGGCCTGGGAAGTTGTCTGTCTTTAAGGGGCCTTTGTACATCCATGATGTCTTCCATTATGATTTGGTGTTAATTTTACAGTCCAGCTCTGAGAGTTTACAGGGAACCTGGATGCCAACTCTACCACCTGTGTCGTCTGTACACATTCCTGGCTCCTGGCTGTGCCTGTGCCATTTTCCCAGCCTTCAAACCCTTTTCTGCCCCCTCTACATGTTGAAATCCTTACTTGTCAATCAAGTCCTTGTTCAAATGCCCACATCCTCAATAAGCTTTCACCATCCCCCTAAGTTAAACTTGGTCTCTCCTTTTGCAGCCATTCTATGGCTTAAAATTTTTTTTGATGATAACACCAAGCTCCTTCTAAACTGTGCCAGAAGAGTAGTTGTTGGCATAGCAGAATCTCTGTAATAACTTCCTATCGTGTCTTCTTTCCAATGTATGTGAAATAAAAATAAAATCCAAGTTCCCCTCTCTAGTCAGCTCCCCAGATGGCTAAGCAATTCCTGTGCTCTTCAATGCAATCTTGCTTTTCTGTCTGTAAAGATTTTTAAATTGCTGTGGAAATATTCTGACTTCCAGGCTGTTTTGAACTTCTAGAAATTTTTAGGACACTTTATTGATGCTGGGGAGGCACAAATCCAGGAGAAGTTGTGGAAATATTTTTGGCTATCATTTCAGGTAAAGCCCATCAGATTTCCAAGAGGTGGGAGAGCAGCCAGGGCTTGGAAGAGTGTCCTTAGCTGCCTTTCTGACTTGCCCAGGCCATGAGAGGGGCCAGGCTGAACCCGCGGCCTGCTGTCCTGGCCATGGATTGAACAGAGAGCCCCTGCCCTGCCTCCTGCTGCCCCGGTTACTTGATGCTTCCTCCTTTTTACCTTTCCTTCAGGGCTTTAGGGTACTTTTAGATGGGAGAAAATAGAGTTCAGCAGTTAATTAGTTTTCAGTGAAACAAAAGATCCAGTGTGTTAACATTTGGGTAATGGAAGATGCGTGAATTCTCTAAAAATAATTTACAGAGTCAAAGGTGGTTGAGGACTCGGGGAGGAGAGCACAGGGAACTGCTGCATTTTAGTCAGAAGCCTCAGGACCATTTGGTTTTTTAAACTATATGCAAACTTTATATGGTTTTTGATAAAATAATTTATTTTTAAAAGAATGAATTGTTTTAAATATTGGATTTGAGAGTCTTTGTCAGTTCTTGGTCTACTCAAACAGCTCAGGCTTAACATAGAAGGCCTGACCTAGTGGTTCCCAAGCCTGGCTGCTCATTATAACCATCTGGGGAGCTTTAAAATATACCGGTGATCACCAGACACCAGACCAATTAAGTCAACATCTCCGGGCACAGGCTTGGGCATTGATATTTGTTAAAAGTTGTCCACGGGTTGGCCCGTGGCGAAGCAGTTAAGTTTACACGTTCTGCTTCTGGGGTTCGCTGGTTCAGATCCTGGGCACAGCCCTATGCACTGCTCATCAAGCCATGCTGTGGTGGCACCCCACACATAAAATAGATGAAGATGGGCACAGATGTCAGCTTAGGGCCAGTCTTCCTCAGCAAAAAGAGGAAGACCAGTGGTGGATGTTAGCTCAGGGCTAATCTTCCTGAAAGAAAAAAAGTTGTCCATATGGGGCCAGCCCGGTGGTACAGTGGTTAAGTTTCATGTGTTCCGCTTTGGCAGCCTGGGCTTTATGGGTTTAGATCCCAGGCGTGGACCTACACACCCTTTGTCAAGCCATGCTGTGGTGGTGTCTCACATACAAAAAATAGAGGAAGATTGGCACAGATGTTAGCTCAGCAACAATCTTCCTCAAGCAAAAAGAAGAAGATTGGCAACAGATCTTAGCTCAGCGCCAATCTTCCTCACCAAAAAAAAAAAGGTTGTTCAGATGATTCTAACATGCCACCAGGGTTGAGAACCATTGAACCCTTCTCCTAGTCTGTTACTTCTGTCCTCAAATAGATGTGTACTCCTTTCTCTTGCCATTAGACTGTGAGATCCTTGAGGATAAGGATGGTCACTTACACACCTTTCTTTCCCCAAAAGTAACTAATGCAGTGCCTCAAACATGGCAGGTGCTCAGTAATTACTTGTTGCCTGGACTTGCCACTTTCAGAAAATCAGAATCTACAAGGGACAATGCTTCTAGTCAATAAAAGGGACATCTAATTCTGGAGACTTCAAAGAAGTCATTGTGGAGAATCATCAACACTGAAATAATGAGGAATAAGAGAATGAAGGAATTTAATCTGTTTCTAGGCAACAGGCAAAGTTATAGTTTCATGTTGATGGAAGTTCATTAGATCTGGGTTTGAGATTAGGAACCAGTGGGCATTAAGAATAATTGACTAACTTGGTTGTACTTAGAATTCTAAATTTTTTCCACGAAGCCTTAACATAATGGATAAAACAATTAGTTTGATGAACTAATTTTCCTCTTGTGAAAAGATTCGAAAACTTACTTTTAAAAAGAAGGGTAATATAATTCTGCAGTCTAAGTTTGAGAAATGGAGAAAGGCAAAATAAAAAGTTCTTAGCATCTTGTTATCCAGGCATTTTTTTTTCATTTTTGCTTATTTATTTTCATCTTTGTTGATATGAAAAAGTATTTTTACATAGTTATGATCAAGTTGTGCAAACAACTTTATACCCTGTGTGTTTTTTTTCCATTTAACCTTTTTGTGAGGTATTGTTGTAGATTGTATTATTGTTCCCGATACTTCACCATCCCTATAGCTCTGCCCTTTGCAGTTCCCAACATCAGAGCTGGAGTATATTCCCCTCGAGATAGGCATGGCCATGTGACTTTATTTGGCCAATGAAAGGTTAGTAGTTGTGGTGTGCACAGAGGGTTTACACGTTTCAGTATTAGGTCTGCCCTCTTGGGCTTCTGCTACTGCCATGCAAAGGCTATGTCTCGGGCAGCCCACCAGTCACTGAGGAAGGAGCGATGTGAAGCAGATTTAAACTCAACTCATGGCCTGGATCTCAACTAGATTAGACAAAACCCAGCTGATGTGAAAATGCATAAGTGAGAAATAAATGCTTATCATTGTATGACTGAGACTTCAAGGTTGTTTTGCAGCAGTAGCTGATGAATGCAGGCGTTGTAACACAGGCTTCAAAATTATCATTTGTAATGGCTGCACGATAGCCCAGCTAGATTATACAAAATTTCAATACTCATCGCCCTATTAATCTGGGTCACTAGAAAGTTTACACTATTAAAATTAAGCCAGGCACACAACCTTGTCTTTCTTTGATATAGTTATAAATCCCCAGAGATAAGATCACTGGATCAAAAAGTGGCCCAGATAGAAGATTCACCTTATACTGGTTCTGATGAGAAGCGCATAGAAAAACCCCATACAGAGTATTTTCAGAGTATTTATACAGTCTTGGAGTTGAAATTACCATACAGATTTGTTGTCTTAAATAAGAGAACAAAAGGCTGAGATCAGGTTCTGATGACAAAAGAGGCATTGGTATCTCAGAAACAGGTGGCTCGGAGCATGCTGGCTCTGCAGGGAGAGGAAACCAGGGCTCATGACCCTAACCAAGAACCTCAGAGGAAGAACTTAGCTTGGAGAATTACAGACGGAAACATGAATTATGTAACATTATATAGGAGAAGACTCTGGTCACTTGAAACTGATGTAGGGTACTATCTCAGAGAAAAGATAAGACAGGAAGCCTCTGACCATCAACAGGACTTTTTTTAAAAGAGAAACTCTGGTGTGGAGAAAGCCATGTAAGGAAAGAGGAGGACGTACAGAGGTAAACTAGGTTTCCTCTGAAGCTGAGCTGCCCCCAGCTCCCCAAGGTTTTGGGGAGGCTAAACATAAAATTATTTTCAAGAAGCTTCAATTTGAAATAAGTACAAAATTTATAATAACTGTATGTTATGATTTATTGAGATGTTACTACAACCAGCTACTATTTGCTAATGCTTTGCATACAAATTTCACAACTCTGTGAGGTATATACACATTTTCTCCATTTTATAGATGATAAAACTGAGGCACAGAGAATTTAACTTTCTCAAGGGCGTGTGTCTAGTAAGGGTCCAAGCTGGGCAAATATAACATTTAAATAGAATCCTTGATATGGTAATCTCAGCTCTGAGAATGTATAAATACTCTGAAAATACTCTCCAGAGGCAAGAATACTCATATTTGCCCTCAGGCCCCTCTGTGAAGTTCTCATCTCTAGAAAGCATTGGCCTCCATTGTAAGTGAAAACGGCTGACTAGTCTATACTGTTTCCTAGACTTACCATCTGTCAGGTCTCCCAGAGCCTCCTGATCATTCTGGGAAAATCTGAATTTCTTCTTCTTCACAGCACAAGATCAGACTCAGGTCATACTCCTGACAGACTGGTTCAAGGTGACTCCTAACATGAACTGCCAGATCTCCTCGGAGAGAATCTGGCATGGTGGCTCCTCCGATGGCAACCTCAGTGGGGTCTCCTGGTGACTTACAGTGTAAAGGCCCCACCTTCCTCCTTTCTCTAAAATCTATATATATATAAAATCTCAGAGTAGATCTTACTGGTTATCAAATGAAACAGGCATTTAGAAAGTTCCAGGGACAGCGTTTTCCTTCCAAATCTACCTCACCCGTAAGAGGAAGAAGGAGCCTTAAATATCTTTAAGATATCTGTCAATATCTTCAGATATGACAGAGGCAATGGGAATAAATGGGAGTAATTTTCAATTTTGTTCCTTCTTCCATTCTCAGCCTAAAACCGAAGTGAAGAATGAGGAATTAGGACATAGCTACTACGTACTTTCTCTTCTTATTGTTTACTGCTTCACAATTATCTCAGGCCATTTGCATCTAAAGTTCACTTTCACCCCTGCTTCAATCAGGGAAGGCTGACTTCTTCGCCCAATTACAGAGCTTAGAAGACACACGTGTTAGAGTTGGGGGCAGTTCATTGTACACACTCCCCCCCCACCCCCACCACCACATTTTGGCTTCCAAGACAGCCAGATATGACAAATAAACCCCATCAGTCAATGGCCAAGACATGAAAATATGTCTACAGTTCCATTCTTGTATCCTCTGATATATAAGATTATAGCTAACATATAGTAAGTGCTTACTATGTGTCAGTGTTCAAAATATTTTATATATATTATATCTTTTATCCTCCCAGCAACCTTTGAATTCTGTACAGCAGCCCCATGTAAGGTAGGATAAGGTGGTGTTAACAGCATGAGTCCTAGGGTCAGGCACACCCTGGCTTTGAATCCCAACTCTATTCAAGAATAAATTGGCTGGAAGACCTCAGGCAAGTTACTTCACCTCTTTAAGACTCAACTTTCTCATCTGTAACATACTGATAAAATTCATACCTATGCCTTACGACAAAGATGAAGACTGAAATAAATAATAAATTTAAATAAAGCCTGCACGTGGAAAGCTCTCAGTAAGTTTTGGCTCTGATTAGTTTTAATTTACAGTTGATGAAGCTGTGGCTTAAAGGTAAATATCTTGCCCAAGATCACAGAACTAGTAAGTTCTGAACCCATGTCTGCCTGACTCCAAAGTCCATTTTAGCCTCTATGTCCTTCTGCCTTCCTGTCTATCAGAGTTAAAGGCCTGAGTCCCCACGTTCACAGTAATTGATTTGATTTGATGTTGAGACTAGGATTGGGTATACTTAGAATATTTGTGATATTAAGAAACATGGTTCTTCTTAGCTTCTAAAATTTTTCTACAAAATCAATATAATGAGAATGATTTACGTAACAGAAATGTTGAGAGGCAAGCATTTTCTACACTAAGAAACTTAAAAAAATATACCTTTCATTACCAGGTCTAAACAACGGCCTTACAGAAACATTAAAAAATAGAGAATGACAAAAGAAAACCCATCCCCATTCTTCCCACCATATCACAGTGTTTTCATTTTTGCTTATTCGTTTCCAGTGTTAGTTCATTGGCAGATATATTTTCGCAGAGTTGTAATCACAGTGTGCATTCCATTGTGTATCCTGTTTGCGTTGATTGTTCTGGGGGCCCCTTCCCACTCTGCAGTCTCCCATCGGGCACGTGAGACATTTTCCACACTGCAGCCTAGGGAAGGACGACTCTTGATGCAACAGAGCCAGCGGATTTCTTGGCCCAGCCCACCTGAATTTACGCCTACAGAGAGGAAGACGGTGATGCCAAGTAAAAGCAGCAAAAGCCCTTTACCAACCTCCATGAAATATGGGGGTGGGAGCAGAGTGCAGACATTCTAGGCAACTCAGCAGCAAAGTAACAGAGGGTGGAAGCATTCTTCCTCCCTCATCTCCCCACAGGTCACTGTGAGAAGCTGGCATCGGTGGTTGTGCCCTCCCTGAAGAGTGGCAGTTGCCAGGCGCACAACTCAGGAAGTCTGTAAAACAAATCTCTGGGGCCGGCCTGGTGGCACAGCGGTTAAGTGCACACATTCCGCTTCCGCAGCCTGGCGTCTGCAGGTTCGGATCCCGGGTGTGGACATGGCATGCTGGGCCAGCCATACTGTGGTAGGCGTCCCACATATAAATTAGAGGAAGATGGGCATGGATATTAGCTCAGGGCCAGTCTTCCTCAGCAAAAAGAAGAGGATTGGCAGCAGATGTTAGCTCAGTGCTAATGTTCCAAAAACTATATAAATAAATAATAACAAAAAACACAAACTTCTGTTTGTCCAAAGATACCTAAACAGTTTCCCAAACTTGCCTGCTGAGAGTCACCTGGTGTGACTGTTAAAATTCCAGATCCCTGGGCCCCTCCCAGCTCTAGGGCAGGTGCCTAAGTCTCTGTAATTTGGAGATCATTTGGGAAACACTGTACTGAATGCTGAAATGAGCAGGGTCGGTGCTTGGATTACAGGAAGAACCCCCACCCACTACTTAGAATGCTACCCAGGAATGATCAGGGCTTCTGTGGGACTGAGATCTGGGGCACTTATGGACTTGTGTGGGTTTCAGAGTCAGATGTGACAAGGTTCAAATATGGGATCGAGCACCCAAATGTGATTTGGGCAGGTTCACTGATCCTGTGTAAAATGGAAATAACAACATTATATCCCTCAGATGGTTGCTGTAAAGATTAAATGCTTTGGGGCCGGCCCGCTGGCACAGCGGTTAAGTGTGCACGTTCCACTTCGGCGGCCTGGGGTTCGCCGGTTTGGATCCAGGGTGCAGACATGGCACTGCTTGGCACGCCATGCTGTAGCAGGCATCCCACATATAAAGTGGAGGAGGATGGGCACGGATGTGAGCTCAGGGCCAGTCTTCCTCAGCAAAAAGAGGAGGATTGGCAGCAGATGTTAGCTCAGGGCTGACCTTCCTCAAAAAAAAAAAAAAAAAAGATTAAATGCTTTGTTTCACGTGCCTGGCACAAACCCAAGTGTCAAACCTGGCTGTTCTCGAACCTGGCTGACCACAGAATCACCTGGAGATCTTCAAAATATAGATTCAGTGTTTGATGCCTCATGTCTGAAGAGGAGCCCCAGAATCTGCATTTTTTTAAAAACTGTGCTGAAATGTTCTGACGAGCAGCCAAGATTAGGAACTAATTATCTGGTTATAGTGTAAATTCTGACAGTTATTTACTTCATTTTATTTTATTTTTTGTAAAGCAAGTGCCTGACTTAAGCTTTGATTGCTGAGGCATCCACTTCAAAGATGGCTTTCTGGAATAAACACATTGCCAGCCACAGGGCTGGATAAAGAGCTAGGCCACCTCCCCCCACTGAGGCTTTTTTGTTTTAGAGATCTCCGTTGATTTCCATACTGATGGGCCGCTGTCTTTTTTTTCTTCCTGCACGTCAAATTCCTGCTGTTTTGTTTTGTTTTGTTTTCGAGGAAGATCAGCCCTGAGCTAACATCTGCTCCCAATCCTCCTCTTTTCGCTAAGGAAGGCTGGCCCTGAGCTAACATCTGCGCCCTTCTTCTTCCACTTTATATGTGGGACGCCTACCACAGTATGGTTTGTCAAGCGGTGCCATGTCCACACTGGGGATCCAGACCGGCGCACTAAACCGGTGCACCACCAGGCAGGCGGCCCCCCCACCACCACCCCCCCGCCCCCGCCCAGTTATTGTTTTAAATTCACCAATAGAGAGTGAGCCCGGGAAACCCTAGGCCCCACCCTCCCCAATAAAAGCAGAACTCCAAGCTAGGACACTCTCTCTCCGAGACCTCGCTGTGTGGCCCCAGGTGTGCTGTGTAATTTCCAGGTCTTGTAAGTAATAAACTTTTATTTTTTTCAAAGTTCCCTGTCGGTTATTGCTGAAGGGCATCTTGTGATCATAAAAAGAACCACAAGAGCCGGCCCAACCACACTGGTTATGGACAGACTGAGACTCGCACAAAACACTGGTTCGTGACATCTCAAACTCAGTTCCCTCCAGTGCGTAATACCTTTTCTCATAGTTAAAAATGATTGCTAAAGCCACACTGTAACAATTCTTGCAATCTGTAAAGAGGGACACCCAAAAGAAACCAAACAAGAAACCAAAACAAGAGCTCAAGGGAACTGTGACATGTGGGCTGTGGAGGGAAGGTACAGATCAAAGTGAAAGGAGAAGAAACGTAATCTGAACAATAGCAGTGACATTAGCAGTCAAATCAGCAATAGGAAATCCAGCAGAAATTTCACCTGGGCTTCAGCTACAACTGTCGGGATTATAGAGGCTACTGGAAAAATTAAGTGAGAAAGTCAACGAGATGCACTGCTTAATTCCCTATCTGGCTCTAGCATTGTTTTCTTTTTCTTGTTGCATTAAATATTTCTTCAGTAACTCAGGCTTATTGTACAAAATAACAATTCCTCCCGCCTCACTCGGCTTTCCTTCCAAACCCGCCTCACTCGGCTTTGCTTCCAATTCCACTTTCCAGGGGGTAATCCTTAATAATAGTCTTTGGTGTATCTAATCAGGCTTTTCTGTAGCATTGTTCTCCAAGAAGTTTAAAGCTCTCTTTTTTGTTGTTGTGGGGTTTTTTTGGTTTTTTTGAGGAAGATTAGTCCTAAGCTAACATCTGCTGCCAAACCTCCTCTTTTTGCTGAGGAAGACTGGCCCTGAGCTAACATTCATGCCCATCTTCCTCTACTTTATATGTGGGACGCCTGCCACAGCATAACTTCACAAGCGGTGCGTCCGTCTGCACCCAGGATCCAAACCCACGAACCCTGGGCCACCGAAGTAGAATGTGTGAACTTAACTGCTGCACCACGGGGTAAAGTTCTCTTTCTGAAAAACAGGTCCTTTACAGTCAAGCCAGAACTAACTAGCCTTTCACCTACTTATTAAAATAGTGAATTTCTATTGGTACACAGGAAACAGCTTTTTTCCCCCCTTGGGGTGAGAGAATTCTAAATATTCTAGTTTTCTGAGAAATCAAAACCTAAAAGACAAGCACATCTAGCTTAGTTTTCTGAGAAATCAAAACAAAACAAAAAAAGGCAGGAACAGTCTAACTTCTTTGTTCAGAGGAATCAAAACGTGGCATTCCTCCTGGGTTCGCGTTTGTCCAGGGGGCTCAGATTTAAAAGCCATTTCTCTCTGAAGGTTACCACAGCCCTTGTCAAGCTCCAGAGACTGGAATAGGTCAGGACTTCAGGAGTTTTCTCTTTAACACTCCAACCCTGAGGAATCTTCCAATTCCCAGGATAAGTACAGACTGCTTGGACAGACCCCAAACCATGCCTGTTTAACAGAAAGGACGGTCTCAAAAAAAGACCACAGAGGGGCTGGCCCCGTGGCCAAGCAGTTAAGTTCGCGCACTCCGCTGCGGGCGGCCCAGTGTTTTGTTGGTTCGAATCCTGGGCGCGGACATGACACTGCTCATCAAACCACGCTGAGGCAGCGTCCCACATGCCACAACTAGAAGGATCCACAACAAAGAATATACAACTATGTACCGGGGGGCTTTGGGGAGAAAAGGGGAAAAAATAAAATCTTTAAAAAAAAAAAAAAGACCACAGAACCCTAGGATGAGAATCCACTCTGTGGCTACAGACCCTTCCAGATATATCCACTTGAGCCAAGAGAAGCTGAGGTAGACATGTTACTGGACATGTTACGGCCACACTTTTCTTAAGCAGGTGAAATAGACAGCGAGGAGAACTGGCCCTTAGATGGGACTCACCTTCCAGCTGAGACCAGGGATGCAGGATGCAGGATTCCAGCCCAGACAACCTGGCAGAGGTCAGAGACAGACAGTGGGGTAGAGCGTTATAGGGTGGACTGATCAAAGATCTATGCAACAAACTTTCAGCCGTTGGGGAGGAGCTAAAGCCTTGGCGGGAAAGGATGAGGGTTAGGATTCTTTGTCAGTTACCCAATTGGTTGGTCTCTATGAAGACGGTTTTCTTGTTTTTCATAATGTATATGCTTTCATTTTCAGGAGAAACTCAAGATAAATTGACTGGGAAGCTCTGACCTAGTTGGATTTTCCACGTTAGTTTTTGTAAGTGTGTCAAAAATACATTTGGTTATTTTGTTTGCCAACATTAAAAGCACTGAAAAGTGAACTCGCCCAGCTTTTACAAGTTGTGTCTTCAAATTCTTTTGGAGATGGGGCACAATCAGCAGGTGGATAGTTGAGAAATATTTGCCACTCTGTAACAGGAAAACAATCATCTGTAACAACAGATATTTATTCTACTGCACACAGGTAACACATACATATATTCTGGATATTTTCTCTAGACATCCATTGGCATACTCATTTTTACAACATGAGTATATTTTTATTCCATCAGCCATAAATGTAAGATGATGTTTTAGACCGAAATTAAATGAACTGTTTCAGTATGTGTGTGAACAACAAACCACTGGAGATGGTGACTACAGCACCGAAGGGGGTAAAGAAAATAAATCAGACAAGGTCATCTAATCCTAATTCTAATCCGGAGCAGGCCATAACTTCTCTGGTTTGAGTCTTCTGTGAAATGCAAGGGAGCATAATGCTTGGCGGCAGACAGAGCTAGTTCCGAGGATGTGGGTCTCCTCCGTCCAGTGTCTGTTGTTAGTTTCTTCCCGCACCATAATTTTCTCAGAGCCCCGGGGGACTCATAACCCTACTTCCCTATTCGATTCTTCTCCTTGGGCCCACAGGCAGAGACTCTGCTCCTCTTGCCTCCGGCCACTCCTTACACCACCATTTCCAAGCCAGGACACACTCTCACACAAATGCACACACGCTCTGGCCGCACCCCAAGCCACTCCTGTGGCACCGCTGCCGCCCTAGCCGTGCGGCTGCCCTAGGACCGCTGTCCTGCAGAAGCCTCGCTGGTCACTGCTCGGCCGCAGTGTCGCTGTCGTCTGACTCACAAGGGAAGCTGTTCAGTTTGTGGTGAGAGGATGTGCGGTGCCCGGGGAGCTGCTGGAGGAGGTAAAGCTGCGGCTCTGGGTGGAGCCGGTGAAGAGCGGGTGCAAGGCGCCTTGGGCGGGCCAGGTGGGAGTGCGCATGCGTGGGGGCGGGAAATTGGGGGGGTTGTGTGACAGAGACAGATACGTGTGTGTTTTTAAAAATATTTTATTGAGGTCACATGGGTTTATAACATTGTGTGAATTTCAAGTGTACATTATTGTATTTCAGCTTCTGTCTAGACTGCATCATGTTCACCACCGAAAGTCTAGTTGCCATCCATCACCTTACACACATGGGCCATTTTATCCCTTTTGCCCTCCCCGCTTCCCCTTCTCCTCTGGTAACCACCGATCCATTCTCCTTATCTATGTGTTTGTTTATCTTCCACATATGACTGAAATCATACAGAATTTGTCTTTGTCTGACTTATTTCACTCAGCATAATACCCTCAAGATGTGTGTGTTTTGAAACTGATGTTGCCTCAAGGCTTTCTCAAATTAAAATACCTTCCTGTTAGATATTCTTAAATAATGCTTCTCTAGAATACTTTGTAAATATTATCAAACAAATTTTTGTATTTATTGAGATAATTTTGACTTCCTATTATTTGTTCATATGATATTGTATATTAATATTTTTTCTTGTTTTGGGCATTTATGTGTTCTGGGATAAATCCAATTTGGGTTTGTGTGGTGTGTGTGTATTTAATAATAGCAATCATAATAAACAAGCAAAAAGCAAAACAAACACAAATAAAACTCTTAATCTGGTTAATTAATCAAATAATTGCTTTTTAATTTTCCAATTTCCTTGTCTACATTTATTATTCCTGTTATTTTGTGTTCCTTTGAAATCTAGTTCTTTTTCTAAATTCTTTAAATTTTGATGCAAATCACTCTATTTCCTCTTTCCCTCTTACCAACATAGGCATTTAGGGCTATGGATTTTTCTCCACGTACTGTTTAATCCATATCATGGTAATTTGATGTGACCTAAACCATAAATCTTCAGCGGGCAGATTGTTTGTGTCTCTCACAGCACTTAGTGTACCCACAAGGGACACTCACTGAATGTTTCCTGTACTGAAAAATCAGAGAATGTTTAGATGTTTAGATAGCATGTTCAGGACATAATTAAGCAAAAGAGAAAAAAGACTGCAGGTGGCAGCACAAGCCTGAGTCTTCAGAGCCCCCTTCTCCCCGTGGGACTGTTGAGTTTTGTTGATTTGCTCAAACACTCCCAAATACAAGTTCTTTGACGTCATAAAGACTTGGAGTCCAGTGCCCCTTCTTCTTCCCCGTTCATCAGGTCTGCCCCCTGCCCGGGCCATCTTCATTTCCCACTCTGACCACCTAAGGATGCATAGTCCAAAAGTTCAACCACTTTCTTACTAACGGTCTAAATTCACATGCCCTACTCTCTTTTTAAATTTTTTTGGAGGTAAAGGTTCTCTTTTTTATGTTAGGAATAATTTCAAACTTATAGAAAAATATAGAGAACAATATAGTGAACACAAATATGGCCACCACCCAAATTTAATACGTGAAGTCAATTTAAAAACTTCTTATTGTGGAAACTTTTCAAATAGGCACAAAAGTGGAGAAAAGGAGAGAATAGGATAGTGACTCTCCATTTATCAATCACCCACCTTCAACAATCATCAATCTTTTGCCAATAAGTGGTATCACTAACTACCCAGTTGCCCAAGCCCAAAACTTAGTTACTCAATTTTAGTCCTTTCTCCTGATTTCTATTTGGTCAATACAGCGCCGTGCTCACTTTATTTCCTAAATATCTCTCACATATACTCAATTCTCTTCATCCCCACTGCGGCACTGTGGCCCAGGCCACCATCATCTCACTTGGATTATGGCAGAACTCTCCCTACTGGTTTGCTCCTCCTTAATTAGTACTCCACGCTGAATTAATAATGTGCCACCTGCTCTTAAAAAATTATCATGCAATAGAATTAACTTTTTTGGTGTACCGTCCTACGAGTTTTACCACTTACCAGGATACAGGATACAGAACCATTCCATCACCCCAAAAACTCCTTTGTGTTACCCCTTTATAGTCACACCCTCCCCTCTCCATTACTTTTGGCAACCACAGATCTGTTCTTCGTCAGTAACATCTTTTTAAAATGTCTATCTGTTTATGTCACTCCCGTCCTTAAAATTCTTCTTTGGCTTTGCACTATGTAAGCAGTGGCTCTTTTCTAACTCACCTCCCATTCCCTATCACTCTTAAGGTCTGGCCAGGCTGAACATCTCTCTACCACTCCAATACACTACTCCCTTTGCTGATTTCTGGCCTTGCCACATACTATTCACTCTGATTGTCATGCAATAACGCCTTCTCTTGACCTCAGATTCCCTCATTTGGGTAACTCAGATCTTAGTTTAAAGCCCCTTTCCTCCAGGAAGCCTTCCCTATTCACATTAGGTTGATTATTGCTCTTTGGTGCTTCCCCTTTCAGAATCTGTATCCAATCGCTTTATTCAACCATGTTTCCCTCCAGACTGTAAGCCCTCAGACTGTAAGAGGCAAGACTGTGCTCATTCTTGATTTACCACTTAATCTCCAGCCCCCGGTACTGAGCAAGAACTCAATAAATATTTGTTAATAAATAAATGAACGCATTTTTGTGTTCTATGCAGTCTAGTTCATCAACATGAGATACATGTTTTATTGGTTTCAGTTGCAGAATGAACATGGAGAAACGTAATTCATCTTTGGTGGTAGAATCATCTTACCCAGACTTGGTCATCAGTGTAGGAGAAGTGACTCTTGGTGAAGGAAACAGAAATAAGCTGCAGAAAACTCAGAGAGAGCAAGAGAAGGCGAAAGTTACACAGGCTGCATGTGCTTTGTTAAACTCAGGCGGAGGAGTGATTCGGCTGGAAATGGCAAACGAGGATGAGCATCCCGTGGAGCTGGGACTGGATTTAGAAGAGTCTTTGAGGGAGCTTATTCAGTCTTTGGATCTGCATGCTTTCTTCGAGACTAAGCAACAAGGGAGGTGTTATTACATTTTTGTTAAATCTTGGAGCAGTGACCTTTTTCCTGAAGACCGTTCTGTTAAGCCCCGCATTTGCAGCCTGGGTACTTCGTTATACCGTAGATCTGGCACCTCTGTGCGTCTCATGGATTCAAGAGAAGCATTCAATTTCCTGAAAACCAAGAAAAGAAGTCCAAAAATCTTAGGGAAACAACCTTCTAGTAGAGTTCTCAAGGTTCTATGTCAAAACCCCCATAACTTGGATCCTGCTCACCGAATTTTCCAAAAAGACCAGCTTGAATATGGTGAAAGGCTGCCTTTTCCTGAGTCTCAATTCGTAGAGTTTAAACAGTTCTCTACAAAACACATTCTACAACGTGTAAAAGACATAATTCCAGAGTACGTCCCTGCATTTGCAAACACTGAGGGAGGCTATCTTTTTATTGGAGTGGATGATAAGAGTAAGAAAGTTCTGGGCTGTGCTAAAGAAAATGTTGACCGTAACTCTTTGAGAGAGAAAATAGGAAAAGCAATATACGAGTTACCTTGTGTCCATTTCTGCCAATCCCAATGCCGGATAAATTTTGAAGTCAGAATCTTGGATGTGTTAGCTGGAGGAGAGCTATATGGCTATGCTTGTGTGATCAGAGTGAAGCCATTCTGTTGCGCAGTGTTCTCAGAAGCTCCCAGTTCATGGATGGTGAAGGACAAGCATGTCCGCAGCCTGACGACTGAGGAGTGGGTAGACATGATGATGGACACAGATCCAGGTAAGAGGGAGAAAACTTCCTCCCTGGCCTTTCTGCCTCTTTGGCACCTCCACATTAAACAGATTTTCCTTTGCTTCCCATGACTTTAAACTTCTCACACCCACTAAACTCTGTGTTTTTTTTGACTCTCCAAGCATCCTTCTCTCCATGCATTAGAAAATTTTGTTGAGTGATTAGAAGTCCAAATCAAGTGTCTTATAATAGGCAATTTTCCACATCAGATTATGAAAAAAAGGTTGTTTGAAATGGTTGCCTTGTAGTGGTGTTTTGGAACTGGCTCCAGAGCCATTTATTACATTTTTAGGAATTTTTTGAGCCAGTTGTTAAACACAGTCATTATTAAAAATTATTTAAACTTAAATTATATTAAAAACAAATGTGATGAACACAAACTCACCACTTCCTAAATATTTACTACATTTTATTATTATCTATGCTTGTGAGGTTATTTATATCTATTGTATCTGCATGATGGAAATACTATAAAATGGTGTGCTACCTTGCATTTCTTCCCAACTCTGCATTTAGTGACATCACATTGGTAGCTTGAAATTGTCCATGGTGTGAATATTTACACCACAGAAATAAGACGCATGCACAGATATGTGTACTAAAAGAATGTGCTACATACCATAAAAGAAATACAAACAAAATGCTATCCAGTGAAGAATTATATTGAATAGGAAACACATTCAAACTTCCAAATACTTTCTCTTTAATGGTAGATTTTGGCAACCTTCATATGCAATAAAGACATCTGTCCATATGGGGTGAGTGGGGCATTATCTTGCCATCATCTCTCAGGTCACACCGCCTAGACAGTTATGATACACCCACTTGTAAGGCCTCTTTCAGTGGTGAAGAGAGAAACTAAAATGTCAGAATAACATGAGTTTTCTTTCTCTGTTAAGATCTTCTATGGTTGTGCAAAGACTTTGAATCTCAGCTGAGTCTGTCTAGCGGGCCTCCCCTTAGCAGACCAGTGTACACCAAGAAAGGCCTGGAACATAAGGAGGATCTCCAGCAACGCTTATTTCCAGGTAGTAACTATGGTTTGCCTACTTGACACCACCCAGTTTCTATGTTAGGATAAAGGGAGATAAACTGTTATGTTTGTTTTTTAAAATTCTTCAAGTACACACTGCAAACCTATGTGTATGAGGTGATAATGCTACAAGCATTTTGGTGATAAGTAGTTTAGAAATGAACCCTCACTGACCCCACTGGCTGAGGCAATACCATATATAAAATCCAGGGACATTATTGCCCCTAAAAATCATTTGGTCTTGTACTTCTCAAATCGAACTGATCATCAGTATTTCTAGTTATTTTAAAAAGTAAAGATACCAGGGGCGCCATTCCAGACTGGGGATAGCACCTCGTAATATGCATTTTTATCAACCTACTCACATGATTCTGCTGCTCATCCAGATTGGAAACTTTTTATCTAGTCGAACTAGAGGCACACATTACACCAGGAGCAAAAAACTTCCCACGTCTGCCATATTTTCCAAAGGAGTGGTGGTTATGAATATGAAAAAAGAATAAAAATTTATATAAAGGTGTAACACAGAGGCCAGCCCCGTGGTATGGTGGTTGGGTTTGGCGCATTCCGCTTTGCCAGCCTGGATTTGCAGGTTTGGATCCCAGGTGCAGACCTACACCACTTGTCAACCATGCTGTGGTGGTGACCCACATACAAAATGGAGGAAGATTGGTACAGATGTTAGCTCAGGGCTAATCTTCATCAAGCAAAAAAAAAAAAAAAAAAGAGGAAGATTGGCAACAGATGTTAGCTCAGGGCAAGTCTTCCTCAGCAAAAAAAAAAGATGTAACACAAAACAAAATAAAATGAAGATCAATGATGAACACTTTTGGATTTAGAAGAAACAATCATGTAACAGCCCAGAATAATGATTTAGAACCAAGGACAGTGTCTGTTTTCTGGTCTCATCCCTAACTCCCAACATGTTAGGTTTTATCTAGGAATCCATTGCTGTCCTCTTTCTAGACTCCTAGAGAAGGAAACCACTTGCTCAAGTCTATGCAGCAAGTCAATGGCTTATTTGACACTAGAATTTGATACATAAATGTCCTATGTATGTGTAAATATTTATCAAGGACCATTAAGTTAATAGATAACGACTGCCCAATTTAAGATTTCATTCTTTTCCTTAACTGAGGTCTTTGCATTCATTTGCATATAAAATTTATATTTAAAAAACTATCCACAATAAACAGTATTATATCCTAGAGTAAGCATTAGCATTGATAATTATTTTCTGAACTCAGTAAGCTCCACTTTAGCAGAGCTTATTACCTTAGAATAAATTATAACAGACAAAATACTGGGCTGTATGCTCATAGAGCAACAATCTATTATTCTCCTATGAAAAAATAAATTTTCCAGGAATTGTATCAAACATTTGAGGAATAGATACTTCCAACATTATTTAAATTGTTCTAGAGCCATAGAAAAAGAATGAAAATTACCAAGTTATTTTTTAAGTGAGAGTAATAGTAATTGCAAAATATGAAAGAGATAGCACAAAAAGGGAAAACTCAGATTAATCTTACTTATGAATGAGGATACAAAGACAGAACTCCAGGAATGAATGGACAGATCAATATTAAGAAAGTTGTTATAATTTGTCATTTCTATATATATTTGCAGAAAAATTATATAATTGTCTTCTAATACACTGAAAAGGCGCTTGAAAAAACTTAATACACATCCTTTATTTTTATTTTATTTTATTTTGTTTTTTTAAAGATTGGCACCTGAGCTAACATCTGTTGCCAATCTTCTTTTTTTTCCCTCCTTCTTCTCCCCAAAGCCCCCCAGTACATAGTTGTAGATTCTAGTTGTGAGTGCCTCTGGCTGTGCTATGTGGGACACTGCCTCAGCATGGCCTGATGAGCGGTACCATGTCCACGCCCAGGATCCCAACCAGCGAAACCCCAGGCCCCAGAAGCTGAGCGCGAGAACTTAACCACTCAGCCACAGGGCCGGCCCCCCACCTTGATTTTTTTAAAAACTTTCAATACAATAGGAACCCATAGATACTTCTTTAACATGGTATTTATATCTATACATCTATATCTATGTATATCCCCCAAAGACTATCATGTTAATTGGGAGATATTAGAGACGTTCTATTAAATTCAGGAACAAAACAATTATGTTCACTATTACAACTTCTCTGTAATATTAGTTAGCCAAGGCGATTAGATAAGAGAAAGAAATTAGAGGCATAAAAATTAAAGAAGAGGTGCCGCCCTGTGGCCAAGCGGTTAAGTTCACATGCTCCCCTTGGGCAGCCCAGAGTTTCGCTGGTTTGGATCCTGGGTGCGGACATGGCACCACTCATCACGCCATGCTGAGGTGGTGTCCCACATGGTACAACCAGAAGGACCTACAACTAGAATGTACAGCTATGTACTGGGGGGCTTTGGGGAGAAGAAGAAGAAAAAAAAAGGAGATTGGCAACAGATGTTAGCTCAGGTGCCAATCTTTAAAAAAAAATTAAAGAAGATAAGACTATATATCTGGAAAATTCAAGGAAATCAGTGAAAAACTGCTATAAACAAAAGAATCCAGGTTGAATGGAAATAATCGCATTACATAGCATTATAAGAAGCATATGTGAAAATTAATATGCAGAATTCAATATCCTAATATAACAATGAAAGAAGATACTCAATTTTCAATAGCAACAAAAATTAAAATCTCTAGGATAAATCAATCTGAGAAAAAAGTTAAAACAATCTTTAACTTTGAACGCCTTTGGTGAATACCTGAATCAGATGGAAAAACATGTCATATTCTTGAAAGGAAGAGTCAACATCATAAGGTCATCAATGCTAAGTTATTTTATAGACTTGATGAGATATCAGTTTTTAAAAAACAGAGAATCACTTAATCTAGACAATGTTGTTGTAAAGTTCCAGTGGAAAAATAAACAAGCAAGAAGAGCCAGGAAATAAAAACTGCAAAAGAAGAGAAACAGGAGGGGCCATTTAGATATTAAATCATTATAAAGCCTCAAATAAAAGTAGAGTTTTGAGCCTGGCCCTGTGGCCGAGTGGTTAAGTTTGCACACTCTGCTTCGGCAGCCCAGGGTTTCGCTGGTTTGGATCCTGGGCACGGACCTAGCACTGCTCGTCAAGCCATGCTGAGGTGTCGTCCCACATAGTAGAACTAGAAGGACCTACAACTACAATAGACAACTATGTACTGGGGGGCTTTGGGGAGAAGAAGAAGAAAAAAAAGATTGGAAACAGATGTTAGCTCAGGGCCAGTCTTTAAAAAAAAGTAGAGTTTTATTGGCACATAATTAGACCAAGGGCACAGAATAGAAGGTCTGGAAATAGATGGAAACACAAAGGAGAATTTAGTTTATGTTGGAATTGACCTCTCAAGTAAGTAGAGAAAAAGTAGATGTTTCAATAAAAATATATTGGGATAACTGGTAGCAATTTATTTTTAAAAAGATGGATTCACACTTTGTGCCGTAGACCAACGTAACCTCTAAATGGGTCAAGATTTTAAAACTAAAAAAAATCAAATGCCTTTATAATTTTGGCATGAGGATTAGAAAAATCAAGATTCAAAATCCAGAAGCCATGAAAGTAAAGAATGATATATATAAGTACATTACAAAAATATAAACACTGTGCATGGCTAAAGCCACTAAAAACAAAGTCAAAGAGCCATTGACCAACTGGGAAAAATATTTGCAACTCATATCACAAACGGCCAATGTCTCTAATATATAAAGAGCTTCCAGAAATTGTTAAGGTGCTGCAGGAGATCATAGCAGCATTCTTGCTAGGCTTTAAGCCTAGGCCGATACCAGATTGTTTGTGCCTTGGAATCAAAGGCCAGAAGGGAAAATCTTATCAAGCATGAAGACAAGGGGCTTAGGAACGCCGGGCCCTTGCAGGAACGGAACACCATCTGCATACCTTGCTGATTGTTCTTAAGACACTCCCCAAGGGATTCACCTGGGATGGGGTGGTGTGCTTCTGGGGGATGAAGAACAGAACCTTTGGACTCTGGCCTGCGTGTCCCTGCAGGCATGAGTTCCGGCTATTGTACTTGCTCTCAAGTACAATAAGTAAATATGTGGTGATCCGAAGGACCTCACCTCAGTCCTTGAGGCTGATGGTCCCCCGTCCCATTGAATAATATGGATTGTGTTCTGTCTATTAATTCCGTCCGCCCCTTCAGCTGGCTGCCTAGCTGGTCTTGGCAGCAATAAGGATAAAAAAACAACTTAGAAAAGTCAACAGGGAGTTCAGAGAAAATAGAATTCAAATGACTTTCAAACATTTGAAAAGATACTTAGCATTAATCAATATAAGAGACATACAAATTAAAATGAGATCTCATTTCTATCTATTAGAGTATAAAAAATAAAGAAATCTGACATTGTCTTTTATATGCTGTGTTGTGGGGAAACGAGCCTTGTTATACATTACTAGTGAGATTGCATATTGGTTCAGCTCCACTGGAGAATGATTTGGGAATATCTATTGGAATTACAAATATATTTACCTTTACCCAGTAATCCCACTGCTAAGACTTTATTCTTTATATATACCGGCATACATACCAAATGTACAAATACTCATTGGAATATTATCATAATAGCAAAAGATTACGGCAAAAAAAACCCAAGAACCTATCAACGGGGACTGGTTAAATAAAATACAGCACATCCGTAAAATGGCATGTTAGATAACTGTGGGGAAAAAACCCCAATAAGGGAGTTCTTTGTTTACTGATATGGAAAGATCTCCAATATATATTGCTAAGTGAAAAACTGTAAAGTGCTGAACAGTTTGCTACCTATTGTTTAAGAAGTGGGAAATATTTGCTTGTATTTTCATAAAGAAATTTTGGAAGAATAGGCAAGAAACTAAACAAAAGTATCTGTGGTAGGGGAGTAGGATGGGGTTGGGAAGGCAGGAAATGGAGCAGATGGGAGTAGGAGTGTTTTGGTATTTGGACTATGGGAATGTACTACCTAATTAAAATTATTATTTTTAAAAGCCAATTTTCATTTTCAGAGTCTACTATTATTATTAGATTGTGAACACTAACAGTGGTAAACAAGAAGTCTGGTTTTTGTTTTGCAATTGGACTCCAGCTATTAAGAATAGAGATGTCCTTGGGTCAGCCTGGTTGCATAGTGGTTGGGTTCAGTGCTCTCTGCTTCAGCGGCGAGGCTTGAGGGTTTGGCTCCCAGGAGCAGACCTACACCACTCATCAGCCATGCTGTGGTGGTGACCCACATACAAAATAGAGGAGGATTGGTACAGATGTTAGCTTGGGGCTAATCTTCCTTAAGCAAAACAAACAAAAAAAGAATGGGGATGTCCTCAGCACGTTAATTATTAGCATTGGTTGACAATAATTTGGCTTCAGGTTAAACGCTGTAAAGGTTTCTCTTGGAGGAAATTCAGTGACTGTCCGAAAAAGAAATTTTGTCTATTACTGGAGTTATTGCTACTAGAGAAAGTCAGAGCACGAGTTGTACGTCAGAATCAACCAGCCCCCAACCATCTTCATCCTGGGTCCCAAACCATTAGGATCCTTCGCCTGATTTCCTGTAGTTTGAAAACAACTGCTCTGGACGCTCCAGTGCTCTGTTTCTAAAGATTTCACTAGATCCATGTTAAGTTTTGTGTCCAGTATGGATACAAAGTTCTGTGGGAGTCCCGAGGAGAGAAGGACAGACATGAGAGTTCTGGAAAGAATAAGAGGGATTTATCAGGTGACATAAGTGGAAGAGGGCATTAGAGTCTCAGGGCACACCTATGCAGAGGCACAGAGGCCCCAGGTCACCTGGGGAATGGTAACTATTCTGGCACACGTGGAGTGGTGGCATTTGTTGAACACCTGGCCCCTGTAATTTTCTAAGTATCATGTGCAATATCAAGGAAATGAAAAGGACACTTCTTGCCTTCACATAATTTCCTGAGGAAGCATGTCCCATCATATAATTAAAGAAATATAAGACCTATTCAATGATGAGCTAAAACACGTTTGCTAAGAACATCAAGCACGTTAGTGACTTTCTTCATTTATTAGGCAGAGGTGGTCTGTGTGGCTTGCAGGGCAGTGAAGTAGAGTGATAACCACAGAGGGTCTGGTGTCTGAGGGCTGGGTTTGGATGCTGGCTCTGCCATTTCCTAGTGGTGTGACCATGGGCAAGTCACTTGACCTGTTTGAGTTCTCATTTACTTATATGAAAAAGAGAATAATAAGTATATTTGCGTTGCAGAATTGTGAGGACTGGAGATGTGTGTAAACTCCCCAATACAATCAACAGATGATATATTTTCTCATTTTATATTTCCTTTGCTTCCTAAAGCTCCATTTTAAACACATCTTTATATTAGCCTATTTTGTCCATTCTACTATGCGTGTTTCCCCCCATCTTTTAACATCTCTTAAATCTGGATGTGTCTCATAATAGATGCCATCTCCTACTCACTATCATCCATGTGGCAGACGTAATCAAGTTGTGCAGACACCAGGTACCAGTGAGAAAGCACCAGCAACTAAGAACAATAAACAATTACTAATGAAATATGGGTAATTTCACTTGAAATTGTGTCTACAAATCCCGACTCTGGTTTGTGATCTGACACTACTACAACATGATGAAAACAATCTCCTCATTTTTTTCCCCTTTGGAACAAATGATCATTGAAATAAGTTTAAAACCCTACAGTGCAAGTTTATTTTCGTGCCACACCATTGGTCCTTACTCCGTCATGACAAAGGGAAGACTCTTGTGATGGATGGAGTCTCACATTGATCTCTAAGTGCACGATACCAGAGTTCTGCCTCAGGAGAGGTAACTCGGGGGCTAACCTCAGGGTCTCCTGGTCCAGGACTGCAGGGAGTTCTCTGCTAATGAAAGGTTTTACATGGCTCCATCTTCTCCAAATGTTTATCAGTACCTTCTTCTTGGAGGCCTCCTTCTACCTCCATCAATGGGGTCTGTTCAGGGACATTTTGAGATTCAGATAATTTCAGAGAAGGAAGGGGAACAGAACAAACATTTCTCAACCAGCTACAATGAGCCAGATACTTTATGCTATTTCATTTATTCCTCACCATAGGAGAGGTACTATTTTTTCGTGCGTTTTTCTGTTTGTTTATTTTACAGATGAGGAAACAGTCTTAGAGAGGTTAAGAAATTTCCCAAGGCCATAAACGTAATAAGCACATGGGTTTCTATGAAGTGTGCCAGATTTTTCAAGGCTTATTTTCCCTCATTGTAATATAATAATATTTGCAAAAGAATATATACAACAGTCCACAATTTGTCTTAATTAATAAGATTAGTTATGATTAAGTATAGGTTTAATAATTAATTTTGATTAATTATAATTAATCACAAAAATAAATATTATTTTTCCCCCCAATTTATAATTCTTTCCATGACTAGTGCCACCGGGACATCTGCAATATACTCCTGAATCCCTCTGGAAGGAGCTGTCCTCAGAGCATGAAGGTCTGGAGGAATTAATCAATGAGCAAATGCGTCCTTTCTCGCAGGGAATTTTGATCTTCTCTAGAAGCTGGGCCGTGGACCTGAACTTGCAAGAGCAGCAGGGAGTCATCTGTGATGCTCTGCTGATAGCACAGAACAGCTCCCCCATTCTCTACAGCGTTCTCAGGGAGCAGGATGCGGACGGGCAGTTCTACTGCACCCGCACTGCCTTCACTCTGAAGCAGAAGCTGGTGAACATGGGGGGCTACACCGGGAAGCTGTGTGTCATGACCAAGGTCCTCCGCCTGAGTCCTGAGAGCCATGCAGAGCCCTTGGCCGGTTCCGGCTCTCCAATTGATTACCCCACATCCTATGACCTTGAAGACACCCAACAAATGGAAGCCTTGCTGCAGTCCCTTGTGATTGTTCTGCTCAGCTTCAGATCTTTCTTGAGTGACCAGCTTGGCTGTGAGGTTTTAAATCTGCTCACAGCCCAACAGTATGAGATCTTCTCAAAAAACCTCCGCAAGAACAGAGAATTGTTTGTCCATGGCTTACCTGGCTCAGGGAAGACAATCATGGCCATGAAGATCATGGAGAAGATAAGGAATACATTTCACTGTGAAGCAAATAAAATTCTCTACGTTTGTGAGAACCAGCCTCTGAGGAACTTTATCAGGTAAGCAGTAGGATCTTATTGTCACCCAGTGAGGTTCGGTCTGAATTCACTCCACACCCCCCTCAACCAGAATCACCTTGTTCCTTGAGAGTTAGGTGGTAAAATGATCTGGGACAACAGTACCGTGTTCTGGGGAGCATGATAGAGTAGTTTTCCTCCTTTATTCACTTGGAGAAAACCTGAGTGTGTCATTTTAATTTTTGCAGTAATAAAAGGATCTGCCAGGCAGTGACCCGGAAAACTTTCATGAAAAATAACTTCAAAGAGATTCAACACATCATCATCGATGAAGCTCAGAATTTCCGCACTGAAGATGGGGATTGGTATGAGAAGGCAAAAAGCATCACTCAGAGAGAAAAGGGTCACCCAGGAATTCTCTGGATCTTTCTGGACTACTTTCAGACCAGCCACTTGGTTGACAATGGCCTCCCCCCTTTCTCAGTCCAGTATCCAAGAGAAGAGCTCACCAGAGTGGTCCGCAATGCAGATCCAATAGCCAACTACTTACAAAAAGTAATGCAGGAAATCATAAAGAACCCTCCATTTAACATCCCTCCTGGGTCCCTGGAGATGCTCCGTGAAGCTCAGTGGGCTCAGGGCGTCCCAGGCAACTTTGAGATTATGGAGCGCTCGACTAGGGAGCAAATAGTGACCTATGTGGCAAAAACTTGCAAGCTTCTCTTTGAAAAGGGCTATTCTCCCAAGGACATTGCTGTGCTTGTCAGCACCATGGACTATGTGGAGCCTTACAAGCATAAGCTCCTGAAAGCAATGAGGAAGAAAAGAGTAGTGCAGGTCAGTGATGCGTGCGACATGTTGGATGATCACATTGTGTTGGACAGTGTCCGGCGATTCTCTGGCCTGGAAAGGAACATTGTGTTTGGGATCTATCCACGGACAGCTGAGTCAGCTATCTTATACAATATTCTTGTCTGTCTGTCTTCCAGGGCAAAACAACAGCTATATATTCTGTGGCATGATGACTGTTAGGAAGAATCCTAAACCAAAATGAGATGAGGCAGTTGCTGTGTAAATGTCCATAGGTGAACATCTGTTTGGTATGGGCAGAAACTCTGTTTTTGGTTCACAGACCTGCCTAGAGATTTGGGCAGAATTGACACACAGAGTTTGGAACTTCCTCTCTCTGGTACTCTCCTTTCCTGATTCCTCCTTTAACTCCGTCCAGGAGCTCTTGTTATCCCAAATTCTGTCCCCTGATTCCTCCAGCCAGAATGACAAAGGTTTTCTATAGGAGCTTTAGCCACCCTGCACAGCACACGCTATGCCCTACGCTCTGGTCAAAAGTCAAAAACAAGAAGCTTGTCCTGTGGCCCTTATTTCTTCCAAGTCTTGACTCTCCTCAGTGACTTCACGCATTTTTTTGTTTTTTAAAATTTACCTAGAGCTTATGGTTATCTGCAGAAGGGTAGTCTGGTAGGACCTAACTTGGCCATACCAGCAGAATTTGTTTCCTGAATTCTTGACGTTTCCCTTTGCCATGTTGATTCAGGACTTGGGAGATTCCGAAGATAATTCTATCACTGACAGAGCAGGCCTTAACCATTTCGGCAGGACAGAGAGCAGTGGTATGATTATTTCATCCTTTAAAATTGTAATCTCCAATTTTTATTCTCAGAATGGCCCAGACCATGCCTTCATTGTAACAGTGAGCATTAATTATCCCTTCATGGGGAAATTATACGCCAATAGAAAACACACACAAACCTGTTTTCTCTGGCTTTCAGTGGGAGATAGTATTAGAGACCGAAATCTGGTTTTAAAGTTGTATATCAGCCCTAAGTGAACAGACTGAGGAAAGATAGAGTCCATGGAAATCAAGGAGTTTATATGGCAACTTCTCAGCTCAGCTCCATTTATTGTTCTATAACATACCAACTTAAGTTTTAAATCAAGTACATTCTTGAATTGTAATTTTTTTCCCTTTACTTTCATAATTTGATGGCTCATTGTTATGGACTGGATGTTTGTGTCCCATCAAAATTCATGAGTCGAAGCCCTAACCCCCAGTGTGGCTGTATTTGTAGATTTGTAAGGAAATAAGGTTAAGTGAGGTCGTAAAGGTGGGGTCTTGATCTGATAGGATTAGAGATTAGAGTCCTTATAGGACTATACCAGAGAGCGCTCTCTATCCCTTTCTCTGCACACACAAAAACAAGAGGTCATGTGAGCACACAGAAACATGGCCGCCAACTATAAGCCAAGAGAAGAAGCCTCAGAATGATGTCCATCCTACTGGCACCTTGAACTTGAACTTCCAGCCTCTAGAACTGTGAGAAATAAATTTCTGTTGTTTAACCCACCCAGTCTTTGGTATTTTGTTATGGCAGCCTGAGCCAACTAATACAGCCACACAATTATTCTTCTAACTAAAAATACTGACACTTAACAATGCTAATGCAGTTGCTTATTTGTTTTTCTATTGTTCTGTCTATACAAAACATTTAAGAGCAGTAATCTAAATAACAATAAAATATTTGGATAACTAATGGAAATTAAAATATTCCATGGCTAATATTCCATTTATTAGTAATCTTATTCTACTAATCCCCCCCCCCCCCCCCCGCCGCTGCCATTGTAAATTTTGAACTTCTTTGCCTGTCTTCCATCTGGGTTTACTCATGGAATTCCAGCCTCTTGCCTTGAAACTGCAGCCTCTTCTAACTTCAGCAAAATAAGGAGGAAGACGTTCCTTCTTTCTTTCTGACTGCATTAAATCAGATACAACTCAGCATCAAAAAGCTATCGTTGTAAATGTTGTTTCTAATAAATTAGTCTTGTAAGATCTCTGGACTTCAGAGTTGGTGCTACGCGTGTGAAAGTAATTCTTAAAAAATCTAATTCTGGTTGGTTGTGTCACTTAATGATTTATTGATTGCCCTAGTAATACAATTTTAAAATATCACATTTTAAAAAACGTATAAATATTCATGAGTTTTTGTTTAGATAGAAGCGGATTATTGATGCTGCCTTCTTTTTCCATATGAATGAGGAAAGCTTTACCTTGTATATCTGCTGCATTTCTGTTTCAAACAAAAAATTAAGAGTTTGTGTCTCATTAAACCAAAAAAGTGGTGCTGTAAAATAATTGATTACACTAGGGAAAAGAGGAGGACTGAGGCCAGAGTCTCCCTCATGGGGCCAAATATGAGCCAGCAAAAGGTTAAGCTTCCAACTGGGTTTTGCTGAGGTGCCTGCCTATCTCTACCATCTAGCTCTAGCCATTTGGGACCTAATTTCACTAAAGATCTGAAAACCTGCCCAGCTATTGTAAAATAAAACAAAATGTTTTTTAAATTAAATTTTATTTTGGACTAGTTTTAGAATTACAGAAAAGTTACAAAAATAGTACAGGAAGTTCCCATATACCCCTCACTCAGTTCCTCCTCTTGTTAGCATCTTATATTACTGTGGTTCAGCTCTCGCTACAAAGGAACCAACCTGAGTACGTTGCTATTCAGCAAACTCCACATTTTATTTGGATTTCCTAGTTTTTACCTCTTCCTCTGTTCCAGGACCCCATCCAAGATGCTACATTACATCTAGTAGTCACATCTCCTTAGCCTCCTTTGGTCTGCGACAGATTCTCAGACCTTGTTTTTGATGATCTGGACAGTTTTGAGGAGTGCTGGTCAGGCGTTTTGTAGAATGACCATCAATTTGAGTTTTTCTGATGTTTTTCTCATAATTAGACTAGAGTTAATGGGTTTTTGAGAGGAAGACCACAGAGGTGAAGTGTCATTCTCATCACATCATATCAAGGGTACGTGCTATCAATATGACTTACCATTGATGATGTTAACCTTGATCATCTCACTGAGGCACTGCTTGCCAGGTTTCTCCACTATCAAGTTGCCTTTTCCCACTTTCCACGTGGGTAAGTGCAGCCCAAGCTCAAAGGATGGGGATTGAAGCTCCATCTCCTTGGGAACACAGTATTGACATAAATTATTTGGAATTCTTCTGGACAGGAGACTTGTCTCTTCTCTCCCATTTACTTATATACTGATTTGCTCATTTATTTATGGATCCAGTCATTTATATTTATGGACTCAAAGATAGTTATTTAATATTTTTTGTTATATTTCAATACTACATCACTTATTTTGTTGCTCAAATTGTTTTAGCATTAGCTATTGGGAGCTCTTTCAAGTTGACTCCTGTGTCCCTTTGAATGCCCCTGTCCTTTTATTTTTTTGAGCACTTCCTTATTTTCTAGCACTGCACGATGCTCCAGGCCCATCTTGTATATTCTCTTTCTCAGCCCTAGAATCAGCTGTTTCTCTAGGGTGCTCTGGTTCCTTTTTATGTGTGTGTGAGGAAGATTGGCCCTGGGCTAACATGTGTGCCAATCTTCCTCTATTTTACGTGGGATGCTGCCACAGCATGGTTGATGAGTGGTGCTAGGTCCTCACCCGGGATCCGAACCTGCGAACCCTGGGCTGCTGCAGCAGAGCATGCAAACCTAACCAGTATGCCACAGGGCCAGACCCTCTGGTTCCTTTTATTGGAGAATGGCATTAGAAACCAGTATCTGGGCGCTAGGTATGCTCATTGCTATTTATTTCTTGGTTTGGTTTGGTTTGTTAATGTTGACTCTTGTCTTGTGGCTTTGTCCATATGTCACTGATTAAGGCTGCACTGTCCGATTTGGCATATGTGGCCACATGTGGCAAATGAGTACTTGCAATGTGGCTAGTCCAAATTGAGATGCGATGGAAGCGTAAAACACACACCAGGGTTCAAAAACTTAATATGAAAAAAGAACGAAAATATCACATTAATCCTTTTTTATATTAATTACATGCTGAAATGATAATATTTTAGGAATGTTGAATTGAATAAAATATATTTAAAGCAATTTTGCCTGTTTCTTTTTACCTTTTTTAAATGTGGTTACTAGAAAATTTTAAATTATATATATAGCTTGCATTCTACTTCTGTCGACAGCACTAGGACAGAGATTGTTAAAATAGGAGTCTGCTCACTGTTAGTCTAGAGCCATGGTTCCCAACGGAGTAAAAGAGGAGGTGGATTTTGCCCTCCAGAGGACATAATGTCTGAAGATATTTCTGGTTGTCACAACTGGTGTGTGTGTGTGTGGGGGGGGGAGTGTGTTAATGCTACCCTGTGGGTAGAAGCCAGGGATACTGCTAAATATCCTACAGTGTACAGGACAGCCCTCACAACAAAGAATTCTGCAGCCCAAAATGTCAACAGGTTCGAGGTCAACAAACCCTGAACTAAAGGAAGAATGAATGTAGTTCTAGCCCCCTTAAGTCAGTATTTACAGGTTGGGAGGGTAGAATAGGTTAGAGTTTTAATCCAATTAAAGTGACGAAATTCCTTGCTTTATGATTATTGAGGCTGATGGACTGCATTTTCCTCTACTCTTAGTGAACCGGTAAATGGAATGAGGAATTCCAGAGGATTCCATGCCCCAGTAAAGACCCCAACCTTCCTGATGCTGAAGTAATATAGTTGAAAAAGCTGTTCCTTCCTTGTGAAGTGGTAAGGATATGCCAAGGATAACTAAGGGAAGTGGTTTCCTTGGAAAAATAGCCTATCTTCAGAGGGTATTAGAAAAGAAAGGCAGGAATGTCTGTCAAATGCTATGGTCCTACGTTGATCAATTTCATATACTACTAAGCACTTATATGAATCTAACATAGAGGGGAGAAAAGAAATTAAACCCAAATCTCTAATCCTTTAAGTATATCAACACTTTAAGAAATACTCTCCAGGCATGGAGAAAATAAGAAACAGAAGCTCAGTGGTCACTCTATAGACATGACTCTCTGACACTTGCACGAATACGTCGAATACATTAAAGAATTTAATCTTCAGAAGACTGGATTTTATAATGTTTTCTACTTAAAAAAATTATAATTAGAAACAAAATCTTTAGTTAAAGGTAATTGCTACACTCAGAATAGAATAAACATGAAACTAATGTAGAAACAAGTAATAAATAAAGTTTAAATAATATTCCATCTTTCTAATATAAGCCATTTCTCCTCTAAAAAGTTTTGAGTTGAGAAATAGAAACGTCTGACTTCGGGAGTGTGATCCCAGTGCTGAAAAGTCAAATTAACTTTAGGCCAGAAATTAGTAGTAATTAAAGAATTTAAGAATCCCTTCTTTACTAAGACTTTTAATGAAGATTGAGAGGGTTTTAATATTATTTAGGAAAATAAATACAAGAGAATTAAATTTAACGCTTCTAATTAAGGTATCTCCTTCGTTAAAATCGTTTCAGGAACTCAAGGTATACAAAACAGTTGTATATCTTCTCCCTGGTTTTCCATGGTTTGAAGGCATTTTCATAACTTTTGGACTCCTTCGGAACGTCCGAAATAACTACATTTGTCTACTACGTCAGATGACTGTATTACCCACACTAAATAAATAAGATGGTACGTGAATAGGAAAAGGAGGGAGGGGAGGGGAGAGGGAACCGGGAAGGGGAGGTAAGCAAATGAGACCAGGAAGGAATACGCCTCTATGGTAGTAATGTTTCATTTTCTAAGGTGGGAAGTGGATCCATGGGTGGTGGTATACCTTTTAGTACGTCTGAAACACTTCATAATAAAAATGTAAGGAGTCGTTCCTAACCTCATCTCCCCAGGGATGACCACACGCGCTAGCGCCCTATCGTTTCGCGGGTACCTGGACGCGTCCTCAGTTCCTTGGGCAGCCCCCACCCCTCCTGCGGTGACAGCCGCCCCTGGGGCGACCTCTAGGCGTCCTGCCAAGGGCAAGACCTCAAGACCCGCCTTGATTTCCCTCGGGGGAATTTAAGTGGACTCCCGTCTGCGCTGTAGACCTTACAAGTGTCTTTTTTTGCAAATGAACTTTCTCCAGCCTCTTTCGCTGACGGAGCGAGCTTCAGATTCTCAGCAGCCGGGCAGGTCCCAGGGCCCTAACCCCGACCAGCGGTAATTGAGCGAGAGGGCGAGCGCTTCCTGGGGTCAGATCTGGGTGGTGTCCTCGCCCACACGGAAAAGGGGCTGGCGGCACCAATCTCTGCAGCAGAGCGAGCCACCGCGGTCTGCGGAAGCGCGTGTGAGTGGGGAGGTTGGCGCCAGGCGCACCTGCCGCGCCCCCGAGCCCCGCCCCAGGTCGAGCCACAGCAGGTGCGGACACAGCAGGTGCGTGTGGCAGGGGTCCCCAGACCACCGACCACTTCCAAGGGTGATGCGTTGGGGGCGGGACGGGGAGTTGTCTTAGCCTCCCGCTTCTCGGGCGCGCAATCTCCGCCAGAAGACCACACTATCAGTGAGAGGTGACTCATCCACGGAA